GAACAATCAGTGGTTATTTCATTGGTTATCCAGAAAAGTCGAAAGGGTATAGATTTTACTGTCCTTATCATTCTACAAGGATTATTGAATCCGGAAATGCAAGGTTCATTGAGAATGGTGAAGTTAGTGGGAGTGAAACACCACGTAAAGTGGATATTCATGAAATGAGAGTACAAGTTCCATTACCTTGTAGCTCTAGTAAAATTATTGTTCCTTATGCTATTGAACCAATCAATAATAATGAAGGACGAGTTGATGATCCCACTACTCATGAAGGAATCATTGTTGATGAACCGAATGAACCCATAGTAGAAGAACTACAACAAATAGCATTAAGAAGATCTCAAAGAGAAAGAAAACCTGCTATTTCTAATGATTATGTGGTATATCTACAAGAGTCTGAATTTGACATGGGTATTCAGGATGATCCAGTAACGTTTTCACAAGCCATGAATGGTGATAAATGGTTAAATGCCATGAAAGATGAGTTGAAATCTATGGAACAGAATAATGTTTGGGATCTTGTTGAGTTACCAGAAGGGTGCAAGAAAGTTGGTTGTAAATGGGTCTTTAAGACCAAACGTGACTCTCATGGTAACTTGGAACGTTACAAGGCCAGACTAGTTGCAAAGGGATTCACTCAGAAAGATGGCATTGACTATAAAGAAACCTTTTCACCAGTTTCAAAGAAGGATTCTTTAAGAGTTATTATGGCATTGGTGGCTCATTATGATCTAGAGTTACACCAAATGGATGTGAAAACCGCCTTTCTAAATGGAAATTTAGATGAAGATGTGTACATGGACAACCAATGGGGTTCATAGAAAAGGGTAAAGAGCACATGATGTGCAAACTTAAGAAGTCAATATACGGACTTAAACAAGCTTCACGGCAATGGTATCTTAAGTTTAATGATACTGTTGTTTCCTTTGGATTTAAAGAAAACATCGTTGATCGATGTATATATCTGAAGATCAGTGGGAGAAAGTTCATCTTATTGGTTCTGTATGTTGATGATATTTTGCTTGCAACTAACGATCTTGGTCTTTTAACTGAGACTAAGAAGTTTCTCTCTAGTAACTTTGAAATGAAAGATATGGGTGAGGCAGCTTATGTGATAGGAATAGAAATATTCCGAGATAGATCACAAGGACTGTTAGGTTTGTCTCAGAAAGCATACATTAATAGAGTTCTAGAGAGATTCAGAATGGAAAACTGCTCATCATCTCCAGTTCCAATTCAGAAAAGAGATAAGTTTAGTCTCATGCAATGTCCTAAAAGTGAATTGGAACGAAAAGAAATGGAAGCAATTTCGTATGCATCATTAGTTGGGAGCTTAATGTATGCTCAGACTTGTTCGAGACCAGATATTAGTTTTGCAGTTGGGATGTTGGGTAGATACCAAAGTAATCCCGGTATGAATCATTGGAAAGCTGCAAAGAAAGTTCTGAGATATTTGCAAGGAACTAAAGGCCACATACTTACTTATAGAAGGTCTAGCAACCTTGAAGTTATTGGATACACAGATTCGGATTTTGCAGGATGCGTAGACACAAGAAAGTCTACATGTGGTTACCTGTATTTTTTAGCTGAAGGAGCTATATCATGGAAAAGTGCGAAGCAGATTGTAATAGCTGCGTCCACTATGGAAGCTGAATTTGTGGCATGCTTTGAAGCCACGATTCAGGCTAAATGGCTACGGAACTTTATTTCAGGGCTTGGATTGGTCGACAATATTGAAAAGCCGCTGAAAATTTATTGTGATAATTCTGCAGCAGTCTTCTTTTCTAAAAATGACAAGTATTCCAAAGATGCTAAACATATGGAATTAAAGTACTTTGCCGTTAAAGAAGAGATTCAGAAACATAGAGTGTCTATAGAGCATATTAGCACCGATCTTATGTTAGCTGATCCCTTGACGAAGGGACTACCGCCCAAGACATTTACTGGTCATGTATGTAAAATGGGCATTATGTCAGCTAATGAATGATAAAAAATTATAGTTATGTATTAAGTGTTGACACTCTGAGCTCATTAATGAATATGTGTTTCTGTTATTGTCTTATTTTCAATTTATGTATGCATGCAAGTATATGTGATGATATTGAAAATAATTATGGTCCGTTATGAAGACATTATTGTTGGACATAATGTACACTTCCTATTAAAGTATCATGTTAGGAAGAAGAGTCAATATAGTAGTACATGGAAGGGACTGTGCCGACTTGATAGCATACAACCGCCATGACTCATGTTGATTTTATTTCTAATAATGAATTATGATGACGTCAATGTATGGAACCTCTAGCCTAGTAAATGCGCATTATAGTGAATGTTAATTAAATCATGAAGGGACACCTTATGACATGAGCCAAGTGGGAGAATGTAAAACTAGTTGTGTCTCATGTGTAACGTGTGTCAATTGGTTTAAATAAAAGAGGCCTTATGGTAATTGACGTTTCGCATTAAAGGAAGTTAATTAGAAATAACTGTGATAGGCCAGTTATATAATAGTTTATATGGTCAGTTTTCACATAAGGGTATCTGATAGAAAACAAACGTCCTTCTGAGTCTGCCTAGAAAAGTTGTATCATATACCTATCAAAGAAGATACAAGAACGGTGAAAGGGTTAAGGCTTAGAGAAAGCATTCTACTGTTAAAGATCTTCCGCAATTATGGACAAAGGTATGTTTATGTGAAACTCATGAATTCTAAAGATCCTGTGTCATGTTCTTGATTGATTACTGTTGAACATGAATTATGAATTACTGATTTACTGATTAAATTGCTTATAAAGATATCCTAAATATTTATATTAAACTCAATAAAATAATAACCATAATTCAATGAATCTAATAGTTGAAACTTAAAATGTAACACAACATAATCTTTAAATTTTTTAAAAATCTTTACAATGTCAAAAAGTGTCAAAATATTAATAAGTATTGAATATGACAAGTCAAAATTTTTGAAATATCGATGCGGAAGTATGGTATGTTTTCTCCAATACTAGCTACTCTGCTAGTTTGCTACTGCTACAACAACACTGCTAAGCTGCTACTTATATCCATATTCTTACTAGGACACGTCCTCATCTTCGTACTTTCACTTACGGCATGTCAGCCTAATAATTGCATTAGATGTCAATAAAATTGAAAATAACGCCACCTACGTAACTCACCAGTCACCAATGAGCTATGAGTCTATGACATACGTTAATGCAATATTTTATATATTGTAATTAGTGAATCGATTTTTTTTATGTTAAAATTTTATACATCAAATTTTTATGTTATCTCTCTCTTTATTAATATTAATTGAAACTGATCATTTTAATACATGTAAAAAAAAAATAGATACAAAAGTTTATCATAATCTTCTTTTATTAAATTTTAAAACGAGAACATCCATTCCAATTGAAACCATTCATTTAGGATATGTTTGGTGTATAATATAAATTAATGTCTAATAGTATAAGATCTTATTAAATTTTAATATTATTCAGCATTTGATATAGTATTGTATAAGATAGTATTGTCCAATATTTAGTAATGCACTGTAATAGATAGGATACAAATAAATATTTTTAACAAAAATGTCTTTAATAAAAATTTATATAATTCTTTCAAATATGTCATATAATATTAATTTTTATAAAAATCTATTGATCAGTGTTTCTAAGAAATATATTACTTTTTATAAAAATAAAATTTCCATTATTTTAAAAATTAATATATTAAAAAATTAATTTTTATTTTAATATACTAATATTAAAATAATATATTAATTATTGAGAATTGCATTGTTAGTAATTTTAATACATCAACCTCTTATCAGACCTAATCTCACACCCTTAGGGCCTGTTTTATGAGATGTATAAGGCCTGATAGTATAAGCTTATACTATACGTTGTGGCATTTTTAGTTGTTTGGTGTGACCATGGTATAGTATAAGCTTATATAGCAAGATCTTTTTATACATCAAAATGATGTATAACTTAATCAGGCCTAGGAGGGTTGGACTAGGCCTGATAAATGTTGATGTATTAATCAATACAATTATTTTAACATTAATATATTAAAATAAAAAATAATTTTTCAATATTAATTTTTTAAATATTGAAGATTTTTATTTTTATAAAAATTAATATATTTTTTAGACACACTGATAAACAGAATTTTATAAAAATTAAAATCATCTAATATATTTGGAAGAATTATATAAATTCATTATTAAAAGGTATTTTTGTCAAAAATATTTATTTCTATCCTATCTAGTATTATACAGTGGATTACCAAATATTGGATGATATTATCTTATACAATATATTATCTTATATAATATCATATCAAACGCTGGATAGTATTAAAATTTAATCAGATCTTATATAATTAAATCTTATACTATTAGGCCTTATCCTATAATGTATATCAAACATGTCTTAAGAACTGATTAAGTTATACGTCTTTTTGATGTATTAAAGAGTTATCCTATATAAGCTTATAAAATAGTCACGCTAAACAACTAAAAATGTTATAATATATAATATAAACTTACAGTATCAACCTTATACGACTTATTAGTTCAATTCCCAACATGCCAGATGAGCCACTAGTTTATTGTCATTCAGTGATTATGAAGTATCATGCATCCTCTTCCTAGTGAAGACAACAGCCTTTCCAGTACAATTATTAAGAATCTATCTGCAAGCACTGTACTACTGCCTCGTGATTCAGTTACTCTGAAGTGTCATGCATCATCTTCAACAATCTAAATGCTTGTGGAGTAAAAGTAACGATAAACATGGCAGGAGCCAATTAAACGCAAACTAATACTATTACTGTTAATCCTCATATTTATTTGCAAACCAGAACCAGATTGAGGACTTAAATACAGCACTTAAACACACATATGATTATTGAAACATGTAGGATTTGGATATGTAGTCTTGCATCTCTTTTATTCTAATGTACAATAGTAAAGGAAATCACACGATCCTTTAGATAGAGATGCTATTAGGAATTCCTCTGCAAGTTAACCCTTCCTTACTGGTAGGATGAAGCAAAGTGTAAGGCAATTCAACCGGCCCAAGTCGATTGCTGAGACTCGCATCATTGTTCTTCTTTGCAAATTTTTGCTCAATTTCTTTCAGCTTGTTTCCAAACTTTTGAAAAGCTTGTAATGCCCTTGAATCGGAGGTCCAATATGGATTGTCCCTCTCTCCAAGGTAAACCTCATCAGAAGCATGCCTTGACAAGATCTCTATCACTGAAAGGTCAATAAGAGTCTGAAACTTTGGTGTAATTGTTCTCAAATAAGCCTTTTGTGGGGTCTTCACCATTTCATCATATTGTACAGTTCCTTTCTCAGGAAGCAATCTTCTACTAATAGTTGGACGGTTCAGGATCAAACCTCCATAAGGATACTGTCCAAAATTAACAGCTGCATGGAGAGCTGAAGCAGTCCATATGATAATAGTGCATGTTTCAATAAGCTCTTCAACTGTCTGCAACTTAGGCCACCATGGCTTATCTTTCAAATCACCATGACCTACCTCTACAGCTTCTTTCCACATAAGTTGTAGTTCACAGTCATTTTTGACATCACTATCTGTTGTATAATACAAGGAGACATAATCTTGGACCCATGTCTTAATAGCATTCCATATCTCTAGTCCATCAACAGCATAAGGGTAGTCCTCTATCAAAAGACGAAGTCCATGTGGGCAAGATGAATCCTTAACTGCCACTCCTCTTAATCAAGCAAAAATACATGCATGCATGTAAATTATTAACATCAAAACTCACTTCTAAATTTACAGCACCACTATGGTTTTTAGTTCCATATATGGACAAGTTCATGTTTCAATAATATAACACAAAAATATAAATACATTTCAAACCTTTATTCCCCTTTAGTGCATACTGCTATTTTTTAGTGCTCTAAGTTTTTATGGATTACCTCTTGATAAGATCAGCAGGTAGTGCTTGATCAGGGAAAACCCAATTCTTATAAACCGCTGAAGACATCTCCACAGCATATTTTGAGGGCAAAAAAGATTTCTCTATTATGCCATCAGCATTAATTAGAGATTGCCTTGCAAGTGCATTGATGTTCATGGTGTCACGATAGTGAGGAGTCAGAAGTTTATAAATAGGGTGTAGCGCACTAAGCTGCCTGTTTGTTGCTATGATGAATGGCTCAATCACTGCATGAGTATTTAACCTATGAACACATGAAAAATAAAATAAAATTGAGACACAATATACATAGTGCATACAATTATATACACATAGGGAGAGATTGAATTTGTTTATGTTGATTGTAATAACAAGATTGATACCAATGGCTCATAAGTTGATGATAGCAAGAGTCATTCACGACCACATAAGCTTTGGCTAATAGCCAAATTGTACTCTCAACACCTTGGTTTGCAGGTAAGATGACTTGACTGACGGCACCTGATTGATCTCCATCAGGATGTGGCAAACTTAATTCAATGGCCACTGGCTTTAAACTCCCATTCTTTTTTAAAAAAAGGATGGTCCTTGTGGCATAAGCCTTGGCATAAGTCTCATTTACTCGTCTCAGATATGGCATGAATACATCATGGTAATCTAAGATAAATAACCTTCGACTAGCAAGTGCCTGTTCCACAAAATTAATTTTAATTACTTGTCACCTTTAATAGAAAGCTATTGTATTTTGTCCTTCAGTGGCTCCAATTAAGACACTAAAATATATTTACCTCGTTCAATGTGCACCCATCTAGCTCAAGGTCTTCTGCGTTTATCTTACTGGTTTGATCACCATAGATAGTGGGATCTAGATTGCTTTTTGGAGGAAACTCCTACCATTCATTAAAGAAGAATATCATGTAGAAAGATGATAAAACGTGACTCTCCATTATATATACCATTCAGTTTATTATTGTTATTAATATCAATAAACCAATTTAATATGGACAACATGATTCTGTTAAGCAATAAACACTTGAACTTACTTGAAGACCACGAATTACACAAGGATTTACACCAGCAAGCATCTCTCTTGCAAATTCATCATCAGTCATCCATGCAGACTTGTTCGCTGCTTAAGTATAATAAAGAAAATCATTACTGAATGGAATGACTTCAAAAATAGCATGAGTTTTGCATTTGTTTCAAATATGATATGATATGAATGATGATCCAAGTTGTCCAAGTATAATTGAACTACAAGTGTTCATTTAATATATATTTATCACACGTACCTTGAATGATGTGAGGTGTTGGAAACTTGAGCACTTGTTCACCATCAGTGCGGAAGAGTTCTTTGATCACTGGTAAGGGGCTAATTGTACTAATTACATCTGTAGGCAGCTTAATTCCACCTTCATAGAGGTCACGCACATCTTGGAAGCTATCAAACTCATTCGGGGTAAAATTCATAGCAGATTCGAAAGCTGGTAAGACTAATTGAGACAAAGATTTTATTCCATATGAAAGAAAGTCCGAGGACTTCAAGTGGCCAAAATTTTCATCTCTTGGAACATAAACTTCTCCTGGTTTCTCACATCTCGGATCTATTAAAAATGAAACAATAGCAATTCAGAATCATAACACAACATTACTAATGTTTCACAAATAACTCTTACCATTTAAGCAATTATATTCACACAATTTATATAATAAAAGGGATTAATGTTTTTTATTTCCTACAAAAATATAAAAAAGTACGGGCCCGTGTGAGGTTATGTGAAGAGAGAGAAAAAAAAAATTATGGATCGTACACATTTTTATATGTGTATAATCTATGAAGCACTGACACTTTAAAAATCTTGACGTGTCGTGTCCGACACTTCCCGACACTCTCGGACACTCCGAGACTCCCCGACACTCCAACACGTGTTATAGAAATTCAAAAAAAGGTTCAAAGGTTGCGTTGAGATTTTAGTTTCAATTATTAGATTCGTTGAATTACGATTACCATTTTATTGACTTTAATATAGATATTTGAGATATCTTATGTTTCTTTTCAAAATTTATGAATATTAGAAGTTTAGATTATTTTTTTTGTTAAATTATTAAATATTACATAAATTAAAATTTTTATGTAATATCAAAACGTGTCCTAACGTGTCGAAATCAAACATTTTTTAGAATTAACGTGTCAGAGTGTCGTGTCGTATCGTGTCACGTGTCTCATGTCCGTATCGGTGCTACATAGTGTATGATAAATAAAATTATCTCCTACAACATGAAAAACACTAATCCCATGATATAGACACAGACACAGAAGACTAACCTTTCCTTGTTGGATATCGACCAGTTCTTCCTCTGCGAGGGTAGGGATAGGTGCTAGACCCCCCAAGAATTGGACGAACATACTTTTCACCAAAATCCGGATTGCCCAAATCATTGTACACATCGTAATCATAGATTCTATCATATTCCTTGCGCTCTCCTGTTCCATCTCCCCTTAAATTCTTCAATTCTTCTTCTCTGTATTTGACAAGTGGAGCTGGTGTTTCACTAGGAAGATATGTCTGCATTATATTAAATGAATTTTTTCATTGATGGCTTAAAGTTCAATAACTCGCATGAATAACCAATATTATTAGTTGGGGACACGTCACTAGAAAAATAATATAGTAATGTTTAATAGATTTGATAAATTGCTTGGTTAGGAAAATATAGATTACCTTGTTGGCAAAGAAAATGCGTTGGCTTTTGTAAAGTTTAGAGTTATAAACCCATGAGTTGCATACAAAATGGATGGTTCCTTGGTTTGGGATGTCTTCAAGAGTTAAACTCTTGAGGAAAAACTCAACTTGCATATAGTTCTTTATGTAAAATGCACCAGGAATTCCCATGCTATCATCCCATTCAAAATGAATGCTGAATGCAGATTCCCCTGCTCCCAAGGTTGGTAACGAGGCAATAATACCTTCCAAAAATGTATCCTTACCAACTTTCCCTTTTCCATTTGCTACAAAAGTTCCACACATGATTTAGTCACCAAAGTCAAACTATATAATATATAAAGTAACAAAATATGTTTAATGTAGAAAGTGAAGTAGAATAAGAAATTAAGAACAAATTAAATTGACCATCAGTGTTGGTAGCACTAATGAGCTGGAGTGAGACGCTACGGCCCAAGAAAGCAGTGAGGGTGTCAACTGTGGAGCCAATAACGTTGATGCCGGTGCCAATTAGTCCTCCAACGTCTCCAGTGGTAACACTAGCGATGGAGTCGAAGTCCAACACATTCTTGCGCATTAGCACCACTGTCCCTTTGATCTTATGGCCTCTGTTGAGGATTCCTGTCACCCCTGAAAACATCTTTTGCTACTTCGCGAAGCTATACCAACAATTCTATTTGCAAAGTGAGAGAGTAAGAAGAAAAATACTATGTGAATTGCAAGCAAACCAAGCAAGCTATGCAGTGTATTTATAGCTATTCGATCTTCTTGTTTTTTTTTTTTGGAAATTATTTATAGCTATTTTTAGTTACTTTTTATTATTCAATGTGTAGTAACTTCATTTTGTAAGTGATAACGGTTGTTTTGATGGATATTGAGATATATAGAAAATTTTAGTACAAGTGTTTCATTCGGAGAATAATTTTATTATTTTTTTTTTGTGTTGTTAGTTATTTGATGATGGATATATAAGATTAAAAGTTTAATAACATTCATGAATGGAATAGAATAACACAAAATTTATTATAATAACCTATATGTATTATACATTATTTGAACTGTAATAAAACTGAGATAATTAGTAAGTCATGGAGTAAAAATAATTTGTAATATGATTTAATAGATAATATAAATATAAAGATTTATATTATTTCTTGAGTTACTTTTTATATACTACTTATATTATTTGAAAAAAATAAAATTATTAGGCTACATAATCTATCATTTCTAACATTTTCATTTTTATAATAAAATGTCATATATTAAATGAGATAATATATTAAGTCAAACTTTTTTAATGTTTATTCTATCTATTCATCTTTAATATTATTAGATCAGACTCTCAAGTAACTTTTTTCATTTTTTACTTCTCTTAAAATTCAGATATAGTGATATTAAAAAAGAGTAGATAAAATAAACATAAAAAAATAGATATAAAATTACGTCCTATATTAAATGGTATAAAATAAATTTTGTCCTTCGAGAATCTTAGAATTCATCAGAAATTTATCCAGATACCGATGAACTCAAGACTCAAAGTGCAAGGTGTCACACAGATACCATGCAAAAAAATACAAGAGGCATAGAATGAGGAGAAGAATAATAAATGTGCATGTGATATTAGTTTGACGCCAAGCGCATGTGTCATTAGGACTGCATGCAAGAAAGACACGTACATCCCAGATACATGAAGGCAATGTAATAATATTTATCATTTTTCATATTTAATATAAAAATAACGTATGAGTGTTTATTTTATTTATTTTTAACAAAATTCTTTTAATAAAATAACTTGCACAGCATCTTGATTTTCTTAGCAGTATTACGCTGTTCATCACCGGTTCAGTCTTGTAAATTTGCTGGAATAAGGGACAGGTTGGAGTGTTGTTTATGTTGTGCGTGTGACAAAGGTTGATTGTTTTTGGATATGCTGATTATCCAATTCCGTTATTACGAGTTTTAACGTCAGAGCGTTAATGACAAGTGGAGAGGGTGGAAAATCGTCCCGTTCAAATTCAAGTATTCAATTGTAAAACCCAAAAGTTGTTGCCCCAACTAGATATAGGATTTGGCATGTGAACTGTTTGGATATGCCGGAGGAGAAATCTTGTACCCGAGCACTTTTTAATCGGTGGGGTGGAGGAGAGGAGAGAGAGACGAGAGAGAATTTTTTTTTTATCCCACGTGACACCTCTCAATGGAACGATTATGGTGGTCCGGATAGGAGTATTTATCAACCGATCCGAACTGTGATGACCGAACTAAAAATTAAAAACTAAATTAAATAAAAATTAAAAAATCAAAGACCGAAAAAAGAGAGGCTGAATTTAATTGGATTGGATCAGTTTTCGATTTGATTGGTCAAAATTGATCTAATTAAACCAATCCAATGATTCCCCAACCCTACCCTCTACCTACTTGGGCATTTTTCCAACCATAACCCAAAAATCATATAGAAAAATTCAAAATGCAAGACCATTAACCCATCATGTTGGAGAAAATGGGTTGTGCTTGATCTATGTTATGCTTTTTTGTATCTTATATTTTTATTGTAGGGGTTACTGTTATACAACAGTTCCTCTATAGGATGAAAATTCAGGATACTCTGTATCTAACGCAATCACATTGTAAATTTTTTATTGGAGAAAAAAGATGATAATTCAACTTTTTGTTGTACTATGTTGAATATTATATTATCATTTACTGATGTTTCTAGATTGCACAATAATCATCATACAAATTTTAGGCTTTTCAAAAAACTGAAAATCGATCCAATCCAAACCGAATAAAATTGGATTAGATTGGATCGAATTTGAAAAAATTTCAAACCGAATAGATAATTACATGATCAAACCGAAGGGATCGGATCAGATGATTTTTGCTTCCAAAACCGATCCAATCCAGATCGCGAACACCCTTAGTCCCAGATCGCTTTAAATGTTTCCCTCCCGAAGCCACGAATATATCATTTGCTGCCAAAGCACTGTTGAGTGTTGAAGCTTCCCAAATGTTGTATATCAAAAGGGGGAGTGGATGTAAATGATAGTGGTGACTCTACCTTTATGCAGAGTAACAGCTCATAAATGAATAGAACAAAAGATGCCCCTTTAATGGGAGGAAGAGGTATTTAGAGAAGAAGTCCCTCTCAAGCGTAGAAGAGAAAACATAGAGATATACCATCTAGCTAGCCTTGTCTCTTAGACCAGGCATGCTGCACTTACTGTCAGTGTACAATGGGCAGCAGTGCTGGGGAAAGAGAATTCCCAGTGGTGAGCCTCTATAGCTTATCATGGGTGCCCTCTAGAAGATTTTAGGTGTGAGCTTTTAAGACTGGACCCAACTGGTTGAGCCTGTAAAGTTGGTAAAGCACCCCAGCTTGGTAGCCTACGAAGTCAGGGTGCCAAGGTGTATGATAACTTAGGCTGGCCATCCGTAGTATGTAGTGTTTCAAGTAGGATAAAATGATCTAACTGGTCGGTAATACGTCGGCTTCAAATATGTAAATGTGTATGTCACACCTGGTTAGCTAGGTCCGAGTGTTGTACGTTGGAGTCTTTAGTTTTTGACTTGTAAATGTATTGAAGTTTTGGTTGGTGAAGCATTATCTTATCGAATAATGTTGCAAGAGAGAAAAGATCGAGATTTTGATGATAAATATGTATCCCTTCTTCCAAAATAAGCATTGTTGGTGGTATGTATATATAATAAATAATGCACCATGACTTCGGTCTTTGATGACCAGTTGCTCTTTACTCACTGATCATTAACTTGCAACAACTAATATAATAACAATTTAATAATAATAAAAACGTGCCTAGTCGTGCTAGGTCTTTAAGAGAGTCTGAATGACGCGCTAACCATTCGGGTCTTTTGCCGAGGGGTTTGCTCGTGGGTTGCACATCCCGATCTTCTGCCAGGGGTTTTCTTGTCCCGATCTTCGTTGCCTAGATGGAGAGTTAGCCATCTAGGACTTGTGTGGTCTTCTACTTGGGGTGGAGACCTGCTCGACCTTCATTGTTACTAAGGGTGAGGACCTGCTCGGGTTTAAGTGTTAGTGTGGGGTGAAGATCAGCTCACACTTTTGGGGAATATTTTTACCCGGTATAAAATGTTACTAGGGGTGAAGACTGATCCAGTCTTTTATTATTTCCAATGGTGGATACCGACTTGATCTTCATTGTTACCGAGAACGAATACCTGCTTGGTTTTCGTTGTTACCGAGGGTGGTTACCTACTCGGTCCTCATTGTATACCGAGGGTGGAGACCTACCCGACCTTCATTGACATGTAAATTATGGTCGAATAAGCAATGTGATGGCTGGTCGGATGGACAGTGTGAAGGCTGGCCATCTTGTTGGCTGGTCAAGTGGGCAGTATGAAGACTGGCCATCCTGTTGGCTGTATGTTCTCGATGGCTAACTCTCCATCTAGGCAACAAAAATCGAGATGAGCAAACCCCTGGAAGAAGACTAGGATATGCAACCCACGAGCAAACCCCCCGGCAAAAGACCTGAATGGTTAGCGTGCCATTCAGGCATTCTTAATGACCTAGCACGACTAGGCACGACATGGCTTTTAACCATGTGGTCGTGGGTTCGATTCCCACAGACGACGCCAATGAACTGTTTAGATTAGCTGGAGCCACAGAGGTATCCCATAGAGGGTAAATTATGTCAATCTAGGGGTGCTCGTAGTTACAACGGTAAAGACCAAGACACTGTTAAAGCTTTCCATAATACTATATATCAAAGGGGTGTGTAAATGGCAATAATGACTTTGCCTTTATGTAGAGTAACATCTCATAAATGAATAAATCAGAAGATGCCCCTTCAACGGGAGAAAGATGTATTTAGAGAATAAGTCCCTCTCAAGCGTGAGAGAGAGAAAGCATAGAGCTATATTATTTAGCGAGCCTCGTCACTTACACCAAGCATACTGCACCCACTGTCAATGTATAGTGAGCAACAGTGTTGGAAAAAGGTAATCCTTAGTGATGAGCCTTTATGGTTCATCATGTGTGCCCTCTAGAAAGTTCTATATATAATCTTTTAAGATTGGATCCAACTAATTGGCCCTACAAAGTTGGCCTGCCAGAACAACATGTATAAAGGATAATGGGTTGGAATTATAAGAATTGTAATTCTTAATCGAATTCATTGAAACTTTGAATACTGTTTAGTATCTATAAAAAAAACATATTTAATTATAAATATTATTTTTTGTTTTTTTGTTTTTTCGTATAGATAGTATTTACTTATTTATTTATGTCTCTAAATTTATATTAGCCTTTAACTTTAAATATCATATTTTTTTGGTGTAATTTCAAGAAAAATTACATTTACAATTTTATTCTTTTAATAAAATTTTCTGGCTTCTCTAATATATTTTTAATATAATTATATCATGTGAAAATTTCATTTATTCTTTCATAAATCATCAGTTAATACTTAGAATACTACATATTCTCCTTTTCATTTTATGAATTTTATCATTTAAATTTGTAACCATTAACTCATCACTAAATTTTTTCATATAATGTGAATAATTGTCTTCTTAGCCAACATACTATATTGAGTGAGTAAAACTCATTTTAATGCCAATCACTCAATATATGATAATCTATGACCCCCACCTTTTTTTTATTGTCTAGGCTTTTTCCCGACCACATTTGTTGTGCTCTGCTTACATTAAAATTGGGGCATTTGGCTTAATTTTTTTCCTATCTTTCCTTTGTACACACATCACACTCATTGCTTGGTTTTAATTGGTCTGTCGACTTTATCCCGCTGAATGAATGGTACTCTTGAAGCACGTTAATAATTTCCCTTTTTCCCTGCCTTTTTGATCTAATGATACTTGACTCAACTTTATAAATAAAATTTCTTAAATCTCATTTGATAAAAATAAAGAGATGATTAACTAGAAAATTTATATTTCTCAGAAGATTACAAGAGTACTATAAAATTTTACGAAGGTAATAAGATCTAGGCCCAATAGCTAAAGCTTAGAAGTTAAGAAAATGCATCTATCCTGCATCTCCATCCTTTCGCAGGAATAGTGACACACGACATTAAAGCCGCATAACATCAGCAACTCAAAGCTTTACAACCACCATAATAATTAATGGCCAAAGGACAAATACTTGGCTCCAGCTAAACCTATAGGGCGTAGCTCGCAAGTAGATATTTCGCACGTGAGATAGTCTGCAACAATTACTTTAGCTGACCATTGAGGTTAAATGCCATCATACCAAGGCAGCATAAGCATGACAATCAACCATTACATAAGACTGGCTTGAAGCCCGTGTATGATCATATAATCCATCTTAACAAAAGCTCATAACTCACGTACTAATTTATGCATTGAAGTGCCTTGTAGGTACCTCTCATTTTTATCCCAGACAATCAACATGTATGTCCAGCCTAAAAGTCTTCGTATTGCATATTATCCCGCAGAATTCTCATCTTACACCCACTCCAAAAAAGACCTAATTAACTATTGAATCAGACTCAACTGTATATGATCTAACCCAATTGTCATTATTGTTATACTAGTCTGTTTGGAAAAGCTTAAAGCAAAACTACCCTTGGAAATTAAAGCATTGTTTCTATTTAACCGTTAGACATCAATTTTAGGAATGTCTTGTTGTTTGTACTTATTAGAAATATAAATATTTTTTTTTAATTGAGATATTCTAGATCTTTCTCATTTCTAGTTTTGCTTTTCTATATAAGAGCCCCATATGTACAAATGAATTAACCAATCAATGAAATCAATATTTTCCATTTTTTTTCTCTCTTTTACTTTCTAACATGGTATCAAGAGCAATTTTTCATCCTCCATGAATGGAGGTTCGTTGCACTCATAATATTTTTTTCCCTTGATTTTTCTCTTCATTGATCTTCCCAGCATCCTTCTCTCTCCCATAGAATTTTGAATTTTCCATATCTAATGGGTTTTCGTCCAAATCTGTGTCTCTTTTCTTTTCTCTTTCTATATCGGGTTTCTCTCTTAACTCGGTGATCATGGTTCGCATCTTTCTCTCTTCTTATGCTCACAACTCCATGAGTCTGTGAACACAAAAACAATGGTGGATCTTCAAACCGTTTGCTGCATGTGCGGTGATGTTGGATTCCTTTGACAAGCTTTTCCATTGTGACAAATGTCACCATCATTTCCAGCACTTTTATATATGCTTTCTATTACATTTGTTCTCCTTTCAGATCTGTTTCATTTTTATTTTTTTGCATTTTTCGTTTTCCATCGTCCCTGTTCTCAGATCTATTTCATTTGTTTTCTCTGCCATTTTTCGTCTACCAGCGTAGTGTTTTTGTCCACCGACGTCGTTAGTCTATGATCCTGTTTGCTGGTGCTCTCTCTCTAGGTGCGCCGCCACATCTCCATAGTCGCTGCACCTGCGCGTCGCTGATCTCATTTGCGCCATCCAACCATCACGCGCTGCCGTTCGTGACCCCTCCCAGATCTCGTACTGCCATCGAACCAGGGTCTTGCCCCTTGCGTTTGTGTTCTTGTTCACACCACCCAATTAACTGATTGTGGTGTTTGCCATTTGTGTCTTCTGCCTCTGCTTCTCACCATTGCCTTCTATGTACCTAGTGTTTGTTCAAAGTCTCTATTGAAGTTATTTGGATGAGTGGTTCTATCTTTTGATTCTGATTTTTTTTCCTGGCTTGTATTTGGCCAAATTAATTTTATTCTCACGTATGTTTGTGGTGTTATTCAAGTCTGATTTGGTTTTGCCATTGTTTGGCTTTATTTTGACCTTCCATTCAGGGAGGAGCATTTATCTCGATTGTTGCCTAGTCCGCGGATTATTCCAGGTACAGTGGCACTGTAGGCTTTTATCCCAGTTGCATCATTGATGTTCAGGCTGATGTCCATCCCAGCCCTTCCTTTGCTGATGTCCATTCCAACACATTATAGCTAATGTCCATTCTAGCACTGTCTCTTTACCAGCTCTCCCGACTGATGATCATTCCAGTTGATTTGATGTTCTATCGATTTCTCCGGTTGATATTTCGTGAAGCTTTTATTTTCTTTCTTCCCAAGATGGAGTGTTCATGTTTTTCACCCCCATCTTGAGGGATAGTATTAGAAATATAAATATTTTATTTTATTTTTAATTGAGATATTCTAGATCTTTATCTTTTCTAGTTATGCTTTTCTATATAAGAGCCCCATATATACAAATAAATTAACCAATCCATGAAATTAATATTTTCCATTTTTTTTCTCTCTTTTACTTTCTAATAGTTAATGACAAGATTTAATATTTTTGTTTTTGCTGTACAAATTTTTTTCTGCCATATTTATATAAAAGTAAATGGGTCTCATCAATCTTTTTTCTCTGTATAATGAAACCCGTTCACTTTTATGCGAATATAGCATAGAAATTTTTTATACAACAAAAACAAAATTATTTTTCTCTTAATGATATTTATCAAATGAAACTAGGGATTTTTTTTAATTATGAGCTAAGTGTCATTTTCATCTCCCTCGATCGAATATTCATGATCCTTAGCTCTCTTTGTTTCGCAGTAGTTACAATAATTTTTTTGTTGATAAACACTAGTTATGATAATTCACTAAGGGGGTGTTTGGTTGAGGAGAAATGTTTAGAATAATAGGGAAATGTGATTGATAGGGAAATGGGGGGAAAGTAAATTTGGTAGGAAAATGTAAAAAAAAGTTGTTTGGTTGTAACAAATTTAACCGGGGAAATCAGGTAACATTTATAAAACCTATATTTGGTTGTAGGTAAAATATAGATGGGGAAAAAATATGATATTACAAAAATATCCCTGTATTAAAAGTTGAAATGAATCCAACAACGAAAAAAGAGTTCAAATAACCCTGTCAGCCCTAACGACCATATGTAAAACAGAGTTGGAACTGGCAACGACCATATTTTATATCCTCCTTATCAGATTTGCTAACAAGTTTCCTCTTTGAAATGGACTTGCAAGCATATTGCAACCCAGTTTCCTCTTTCCCAAGTGTATAGAACAATTTCACATCCTCAAATGGCTTCCTAAGGATTATCTCTTGCTTAACCACATGTGTTGGATTTGGGGCAGGAACAGAAGGCTTCCATGGTACCTGAGGCACTGTTTGAGTAGATGCAGCATGTTTTTCGGGTAATTGGTAAGGTTGATAAGCTTGTCCTCTTGATTGGTTGACCAAGGAGGGTTCATGAGTCTTTTGGTTATGAACACCAGCAGAACCAACATGTCCGTAACCATTGTGTTCTGGCTCTGAATCTTGGGGGTACGCTCGTCAAATGGTAAGTGCATAGTGAAATCACGTAAGTTGATATCTTGCAATACCACCTCTGATTTGGGAATCAATGGCCGGCTATCTCCATGAGAAAGACATGCAAATGGGTTAGATGGTTTAATCACTTAGGTAGATAAATATGTCAAACCACTCGTCCAAACAAGGACATCATGCAAACCCACTTCTCCATTTCCCCATTTATCTCTCCAAAATCCTCCAACCAAACACCCCCTAAAGGAAATGTTATACATATTACCTTTATCACTCTTATTATTTTTTTCGTTGGATCAATTTGAAATCAACGATTAAAAAAGAGAAAAAATTAATTGTCATTAATTTCAAATTGATCCAACGGTAATCAAAACTCCTAGAACTAAAATGATAATAAACATAGAAAAAAGTGACCATCATGTAACTGGAACTAAACCAATTTTTCCTGCTGAAAGAACAATTCGTGTGGGTCCCATTCATGTAATTAAAATAAAAAACAAAAAAGGCTGGTACGAAACCAATGGGTGAGCTGGTAACATTTTTTACCTCATGTTACAGAATACTAGTTTTCCCCGTAAACATAACCTTTCTTTATGAAAAATATAATAAAGAAAAAAATAAAATAAAAGTAGTAGCACACGCACCAAACCCTAAAGGGAATCTAAATCCACCTAACCATCTACAACGATCTTTCAAATTTCAGTTACGTGTTACAACCACCGATCTACTTAGTTTCATTTCATTACTCTTCTTCTTTTGTTTTCCGATAATTTCTTCAGCAATAGCGAAAATGTCTTATGCTTCTCTTATACTCAATCACTCCAAAAAGGTATTCATAGTTACTGAATTGCAGCATAATGTATTTTAGCTTTATTCCATGGTTACTGAATGCTGCTTAAAGAAATTTAAAGAGGTAATACATATTTGATTTCTCTGCAGTTGAGGAATGCTCCAAACTTTCTGCATTACGAGCATGCCCTTTTGGTTCGTTGGTTTTCCAGTGATACTCAAACCACAATCAAAAGAAATCAGGGTACTTAGTTGATTTGTATTAATTTTCTATTACACTGTGTAACTATGAACTTGGACTAAATTAATAGCAAAATTCATTCAGTTTTTTAGGCTTGGTCATTTGAGAGAAACTTTGTTCAGTGTTCTCCTTGCATACTTGGAGTTTGGGGTCAATAATATGTCTTACTTACCGTGGATTGGGTTGAAAAACACTAACTTATTATGGCTGTGGCAAGTTTTATTTAGCTGCTCCAAGGTCTATTCAGTTTTCTGTGTGCAGTTTATGGTTGATGAAGGATTTACTGTATTGGGACAATGTAATTATCCATTTATGCTATGCTCTGGTGGGTGGTGTTTTGAATAATCTGTATGTGTGTGAACGGGAGGTGTACTGATAAAGTTGATATAGGAGAAAATTACCTTATAGACAATTTTTCATCATATTGCATTGATAGCATATCATTTGACTTCTAGTTGATGTTCCTTAAATTTTATTTTCTGTGCTTATATTTGAGGTTGATTGATTTTAGATATGTGGAAAACCGAATTCTGTGGTTACGAGTATTCAACAAGAAAGAGTGTTTCTGAGCCAGCCTACTCTACTGTAAGTAAAGCTCATTTTAGATGCTAATCAATCAATGTATTATAAAAAGTTTTCTCTCTGCAGTATCACCTCACCTTTTCTCATTGCCTACCGTCTTTTTTCCTTCCTATTTGATCTAATGTTCTCAGCTGACCCAAATTCTCTTTGCAGAAACTTTCATTTGGTATACAGAAGAGAAACATCTCTATGGCTGCTGTGAAAATGGGTTCCATTGCTGGATCCTTATTCAACAGCGAGATTTCACAGTATGTCTTTTATTATGGTTTTTCCCCCCTTCTGTATTTGCCTTGCTTCAATAGTGCAATGCCTGCAACTTATTTCTCCTGTCCATCCTGACCCCCAAAAGAAGTTCACAGGTACAGCCAAGGAGATGTTATGCATCAGCTTCAGGTACAGTTCATCATTCTTTGGGTTTCCTTAATTTTTTTCTCTGTTTTTTGTGTTGGGTATCTCGTAAAAGTTGTTGTTTTAAAATATAGTTGTCTGGATATGGGAATTTTTTTTTTTTTTCCAAGAGTTAAGAGGGTCTTACACTTTTTCCTGAACCATTCTTTTTTAAAATTGGTAAATGGTAAGTTTTGAGAAGAGTAAACTTCTACTTTGGTCAAAAGAATTTTGGAACATCAACTTGGTTCTTGAAATATTTTTACATCAATTTGTTCCTCATGAATTTTTTGACATAAAAATGGTCCAAAAGTTACTCTTTACTAGGGACCAAATTAATGTCATTCGATGGCAAAAAATTATCATTTGAGAATATCAGTCTAAATGATTGAAATCTTACTGATTTCATCACCAACATGGTGAATCTCTTTTAGATCTCCCTCCGCACCAGGAAATTGGAATGCCTTCTCTTTCTCCTACAATGACTGAGGTTTGTATATTTCTGAGGCTTATTAAGTTGTTATATTGTGGGTTATGGTTTCTGCTTCTGCCAACCGATTCCCAATCATATGAAGGGTAACATTGCAAGATGGTTGAAGAAAGAAGGTGATAAAGTTTTTCCTGGTGAAGTCCTCTGTGAAGTTGAAACTGTATGGTTCTTGTTCCATTGAAATAATTGACTTGGTATTTATAATATCCCAAATAATTTTCTTATGTGAATTTTGACTTAAATTCATTTTATATGAAGGATAAAGCAACAGTTGAAATGGAATGCATGGAGGAAGGTTATCTTGCCAAGATAATACGTGGGGATGGGGCAAAAGAAATTAAAGTTGGTGAGGTATAGAATCTTCTAGCTGGAAGCAGTGTAAACCTTGTTTACTCCACCCTGCTCTAAGGGGAGGGCTTTTCATTTGTTGTTCCATAAAGTTTGAATGCACAACAAAATTTTATTCTTGCTTTATACTCCAAACTTTGTTATCATGTGAAAGGCATCAATGTTTGTAACATGAAGAATTTCTTTAATAGGTGATTGCCATAACTGTTGAAGACGAGGATGATATTTCTAAGTTTGAAGATTACCAACCTCAAGCATCAGATCCTGGTGCTGCCACAGCCCAACAGTCATCACCAAAGAAAGAGATGGTAGAGGAGCCTGCTCAAGAATCCGAACCAAAGGTTTCCAAACCAAGTATATCACCTTCATCTGGAGATCGCATATTTACTAGTCCTCTAGCTAGAAAATTCGCTGAAGAGAAAAATGTCCGTTACTAAAATGCCATGGTTGAAAGTTTTTCTATAAAAGAACTGAATTAAGCCATTTTTACACCATAGATAATCAGTTTTCCCACAATGTAGGTCCCTCTCTCTAGCATTAAAGGAACAGGACCTGAAGGTCTCATTGTTAAGGGTGATATTGATGATTACTTGGGTATGATATATCTTTCTTTATGTTTCTGTAGCTTCTTCCTTTTGCAGGATAAATCCTCTAGCTTTCTATCTCTCTTGCTAGCTAGAGGAATTCCTGTTGCCCTTTGGGTGATTGAATTGATTTAATTAAGATTTTTGACCATCTGATGCAACTTCTGATATTATAGAAGTTTCAGCACCCTCAAAGGCGAAGGTTACAACAGATGCACCACTGGGTTATACTGACATTCCTCTCTCTCAGATAAGGAAGGTAGTTTATCAACAAGTTTTGAATTTTTTTTTTCTGAAATTTTATTAGATGATACATGTCCTCAGTGCGTGCAAAAATCATAGACCATTCTTTAAGGACCATATCTTCTATTAGACTTGATAAGTTTTATCTAATGCCAAAGATAGAAGCTCGACTCCTTAAGATTTAGTCCACTACTGTCGTTTATCCTGGAACATATTTTTTTCTTTTCCAATGTACCCGCTGACAAAAATTAGTTCTATATCTCTTGCGTACTTCTGATAATGTTGTTGGCCATTTGTATCTTGTGGGCTCATAAAATTTGTCATGATCGACATGTCATTTATTGCTCTCCATTTCATATAAATGAGTTTTGTAAGCTTCTTGCTTCTTTTGTTTTTTCACTATTGGCACATTTTATTTTCTCCTTGTGTGTTTACTATTAGAGAAATATAAAATCATTAATGTAGCTTTTCCTAACAGTTTAAGTTTTTGGGTTGAATTGGTTCTTTATATAATATCAGAATCTCGGTGTCACGGGTTCAATTCTCAACGCCTCTCATTTAATTAATAATTAATTAAGTCTTGTGAAATTCTTAGCACAGGTAGATGAGCATGTGCATTGTCCACCCTTCAAGCCCAGTGGGCTCTAGTGTGAAGGGACATGTTAGAGAATAATATAAACCATTAAAAGATCCTTACCCATAAACCTAAACTTTTAGGTTGAATTGGTTCTTTACATTTACTTTTATTTAATGTTCTGCTCTATATATATCTTAGCATAAATGAGTTTTTTAACTAAAAGTAACTCTATATAATTTGACAGGTCACAGCTTCACGCCTATTATTATCAAAACAAACTATTCCTCATTATTATTTAACAGTAGATGCATGTGTTGACAAAATCATGAGGTGAGTTTCTCTATCACCAATTGGCTTACCTATGATACAGATAATTTGTGACTATTTGGACTTTGTCCACAGTTTGCGAGCCCAACTCAATTCATTGCAAGAAGCATCTGGTGGGGCACGGATATCAGTAAATGACCTTGTCATCAAGGTAGCATATTTTTCCTTTGACACAAAGATTTGTGCTTGTATCTTTTTTTGTTTTTTTTTAATACAATAATAACACTGAGGTTTGTACCTATAACCCTATACAAACTATCCAAAGTCCCTCACTAGTCACCGCTAGCTCACTCCTAGTGGCTTGTGCTTGTATCTTTCTTGCATCCGATCTTTTGGTTGTCATTTTAAGATTTAAAGTGCTCTTTAAGAATAGGTACTTGATGAGCATAAGCAAGTGAAATGTTTTGACCATTAAGATCACATTGAATGACTTTCCACTTGTTTGCTAGTTTAGAACATAATGCCAGAGTGTCAGACAAATTGTTGCTTGGGTGGGTTTTCCCTTATATACCTCTGCCGTGTGTTTTTTAGGCCAAATTTTAGAACACGGACAGCATATGAAGTTAGAGAACTTTAAATATTTCAAGCTAGAATCATTCTTAGATAATTTTTTCTAATAGCAGCACATTAGTTCGCAAGCACATCGGCAACACTCAACAGAAAAGAGTTCTTTAGCTGGAAAATGCTTATATACACTGTGATGCGAGAATATAGACTTTTATAGCTTAGGCTATAAATTCTGTTTAGGGACATATTAACTTTGTTTTATGCCTATATTTATTTCAGGCTACTGCTCTGGCTCTCCGAAAAGTTCCTCAATGTAACAGTTCATGGACAGATGATTATATTCGCCAGTAAGTCAACAATTTTAATGTAATTATTGCCATTAAATTTGTATGCTACATTCAACGTGATACTAGTTACTTAACTTTTATGCAGATATCATAATGTGCATATTAATGTTGCAGTGCAAACTGATCACGGGCTCTTTGTTCCTGTGATCAGGGTGAGTCATGGCCTTTTTCTATTAATGTATACATTTATGGTTTTAGGTCCTATTGCAGATTCTAACTTGACCTTATATTGATAATATTTTCAGGATGCAGACAAGAAAGGCCTCTCTGCAATAGCTGAAGAGGTCAAACAATTGGCAAAGAAAGCCAAAGAAAATAGCTTGAAACCCGAAAACTATGAGGTTATGAAGTTTCATATTTGTTCTTATTCCCGTGAATGATAACCTTTTGTGCTGGATTATCGATTCTTGAGTTGATTCACTTTGCAGGGAGGTACGTTTACAGTTTCAAACTTGGGAGGGCCATTTGCTATCAAACAGTTCTGTGCCATCATCAACCCTCCTCAATCAGGCATTCTTGCTGTTGGATCTGGTGAGAAGATTGCTGGTCTTTATGTCCCTCTTTAATAATTTTTTAAAACTGCTGTCAATGTCCTCTGATCTTCATAATCATAATCTTGCCACTTTGCCTTTTACATGAGCAGCTGAGAGGAGGATCATACCAAGTTCAGGTGCTGAAGAATATAAGTTTGCTTCCTTCATCTCCGTAACCCTCAGCTGTGATCATCGTGTTATAGATGGTAATCATTCTTTTCAAGTCTAAGAGTTGAATTGAGATTGTTTCTTAACTTCGTGGCATGCTAACGGATCACTTCAATATCTTGTTTGTTCAGGTGCAATTGGAGCCGAATGGTTAAAAGCATTCAAAAGCTATATTGAAAATCCAGAATCCATGTTGTTGTAAGAATAAACAGAAGGCCTCCATGACATAATTCCTTTCTAGTGATATTAAGGCGGGGGATGAGAACTGTTGACCGGGCTGTATTACCAAGGTTGATTGTAACCCTGACCATTTTTTAACCTCTTAATGCAAATTTTGCAATTTTGTATTTTTTTAATAAGCGGGGCTGATTGTGAGGGAATTTAATTGACTGAAAGTTTGTTCTTACAACTTTCAAGAGAATGCACCCAATGATTCAAGATAGTTTACGTTTTTCAGATTTTCTTGTAGATGGTGTGAATAATTGAAAGTCCGTTTATTTACTTATTTCTATATGGTATCCCAGCATTTCCTATGTTAATTTTGTTAGCCTAGCCTTCAATTTCTAGATGGGTTTAATGTTTTCAAAGAATGTGTGTAAATTTTGAGACTATCTCAATGTCATCATTGAGTATGGTTAAAAATGAATAAAAATAGATAGGATAATAGGATCTGTTCACCAAAAACTAACTAAAAAAAAACCCCTGCGGTGATGAACTCGGTTCTTGTAACTAGTAATATTACCTTCGTCTTGCATGCTTATTATAAACCAAGCCTGTTGCTTTCTCCCAGTTTAGTAGATTTGGCGTAAAAAGAACTTACTGAACAACGAGAGAGGACAACGCTAATAGTTTCTTCCAGTTTATGTTTTTCGTCGGAAGACATTCAGTGCAAGAGCAGATAGAGTGAGCAGAATTGATTGCAAGTCTTCGCCACGGATGGGTCCTTGGTTGAGCTCAAATCCACTTTGGAAAGATAGATGTTTATTTATTTATTCCTTTATTTTTAAATTACTATTGTTATTCACTTCATTACCATTTCCATACCAACCAACAGTGAATTCAATGAAATATTGAAATTTCAAGATCTTGCAAATGCGCAGATAAGCATAGCTGGCATATACACAACAATACTTTCTCTGTTGTCCTCAATTCTCCATTTTCTGTTTTCTCGCAGTTTTGCATTCAGCCAATATTACATCCTCCGGTTAAAATGAAATTAACTCGTTAATATTACATTACATCTTCCGGTTAAATTTCTTCTCTATCTTGCATCTCAAATCGGTTCCTAACAATCCTGCTAGTAATTGAGACATTTCCTATGACAGTGACCACATTTCATATTAAGAACAAAACCACATCCCCGTCAAACTTCTAGTTCGCCAATAACATTCAGTAGGACTATAATACCAAAAGGCAAACTGTAATAATAAATCCAAACAACAACAACAACGAGAGCTTTTTCAAACTAGGTAGGTTGGCTACATGGATCAAACTATAATAATCAACCGAAGTTGAGATGACTTTCTAAATGAAAAGAAGCATGACAATATGCTAAGAAGGAAAAAAATCCATCACATTTAATTCTCTATCACTTGCTAAAACAAATACAACAATGTTTATATTTGGGAGTTCAAATCTCTAAGGCCATGCAATGTCATAATCTAGCACGGGGATACACACAATGTTGTTAAAACGTAGAGTCTACGTAGAAACGTTAGGGGTGAGCAAGAACGTAAAATCATGAAACGTAAACGAAACGTAAGAGTTTATTATTTACCAAAAAAATAAATATATCCAACATATATATATATATATATATATATATATATATATATATATATATATATCAAAAACACACCAATACATAAGTCATCACAAATTTAAGTCCAAACACTAAAAGAAATAAAATGAAAAAAAGGTGGAAGTAGGATAATTTAAAATCTAATCTGTTAATTATTAGAGCAATTGCAATTAACAGATATTATGAAAAAAAGAAAATCTACAATGCTTCGATTAATTAAGTTAAAGTGTGTTTAAAGCCGAATTAAAAAAATGATTTAGACTTCAAGTTGCGATTGCAGATTACAACACAAATTGTGCGATAGCTCAGGCCCAAGATAAAAACGCAATTCCATTCAGACATTCAGTCATTAGTTTCAAATTTTAAAAAAAATGGTTAAATGAATGATAGGCAATTAGGCACAAAGAATAGAGAACTCTATAAATAAAACGTTACCTTGTTTTTTCGAAAGATTGTGGAGAGAGAATATGAGATGGCAGCGAAGAGGGTGAAGAAGCAAGCAAGGAAGAAGCAAGCAAGGAAGAAGCAAGAGCACCTGCTGCCTGCTTGAAGACAACGATGAAGAAGACACGATTTCGTTGTTCCTTACTGCCTGCTGTCAAAATTTACAAGGAAGGATGACAGGGAGGATGGAAGAAGCAAGGAAGGACGCTGCTACCTGCTTGAACACAGCGATGAAGAAGACACGATTTCTTTTTGTTTTAGACGATGAGGAATGACAACGATGACAGCAAGGAAGGACGCTGCGTTTTAGACAACAGCAACACACATGATTGGCGAGGTGGGTTTTTTTTGTTTGTTTTAAATTGGGGGAAAACATGATTTCTCAAACATACCCCTCATTTCTTTTTTTTCTTTTTAGAATTGAGTCAACTCGGTAAACTCAACGAGTCAACCGAGTTTACCGAGTTGACACGACGTTTCAACCGTTTCGACCCAAAACCCGTTTCAACTACCGTTTCGACATGTTTTTTGTCATAAAACGACACTACGTTTTTACAACACTGGATACACATGCCAAACAGAGGTTTCACAGATAAGATATAAGAACATATACATAAAATAAAATATCCCCAAGAGATACCAGGAAATATATAAGAACACAGATACAGGATACCGTTATCCATCTGTTCAATAGAAAACAACTAACACCAACCATTTACTCAAAAAAATTTCTTTCAGTCAACTCTAGCTCTAAATAATACCTTGAAAGACATGCAAGAAACCTTAATGTTTAATTGCACATAGGAAAGCTCAATGAAAGCTTTTATTGCTTTGGTTTGAGCAGTAAAAATCTACAAATAACAATGGCATCAATAAAGAGGTAAAGGATTGAGGTGAACTTTTGACTCTAAAGTTGTAGTAGTTGCTTGTTCAAGTGCTCATTGCACCATAAGAGTAAGCCACATTAGCAATCAGAAGTTCATGCATAATACGATTAGAATCCGTAGTCATTATCTATGAAAGCTAAACTACAAGGATGGAAAGAGAAAATCTATATATGGTGACCAAATTCAAGTAAAATGTCACATCGACTAGCTACTAAAGTCCTTCAAAACACTAATTATGTATGCAAACATTCTTTTCTTTTTTTTTAAACTGTTCCTTGGAGCAAGTAGTGGTTTAACAATGAAGACAGTTCATTTGATTGAGCAGAAGCAAAATCTGCCAGTTGATAGCTTCATAAGATAATATGTAGTCAAACTAGAGTACAAAAACATGTTTTATTATCTCATATAGAGAACAAATATCTTCTTCCAACTAAACAGAAACCACTGAATAAATGAAATACCATTTATTGACAATACACTAGGGGCTATTAAAAATTATTTAAATAAAGATTGGACACGAGATTCTTTGCTAGCCTCCCTAGATATACCAAGATATAAGTGCACCAAAACATGAATATTCAGCCAGAAAAAAATCATGGACATAATATGAATATACCCAAATTTGCAAAATAAAAATCATCAATGATATTCTACCAGAAACTATCAAATGATACATAATTTATACTGAGCCAAGCCCCACAATCGGAAATACTAATGCATTAGTCTAATATCAGAGAATAAATTATAGCATACACATGCAAAATCCCCTGAATTCATAAATCCTAAGAACATATATATAATATCAGCATCCTTACGCACAAAAGTAAACTAACCACTCAGCTTCTATCAAATCATATATCACAACATTATTGTACAACACCGTTTACACAAATCTTCCATTCCCATGCACTGGCAGGGGAAGAATAATTTTTATACTATATCCAGCATTAAAGCGGTCTCAATTATTCATTAAAGATGATTCGACGAATTACATTAGAAAGGTTAGCCATTATCAAGCTGAACAAAAAATATGCAGTAAACACAATTGTTTGCAACAGCAGCACTGCCACATACAGGTATAATACTTTATACCTCAATAATAGCTCAAAATTGATAGTAACCACTAAAAATGAAATAAAATATGAAAACTCACAAAAAGTGATGTTCTCATATAGGCACGTAACGTTTCAACGCCTGCTTCGCCGTGACAGCCACTCCAACCACCACTCCGCCAACTGCACCCGCCACCGCAGCCGATCTCACCCCTCTCGCCGCTCGATACAATGCGCCGGTGCCGAGCCCCGCCGCCACGCTGTTCCACACATCATCCGTGTCCCTCGCCGCCTCAATCCCGCTCTCGATGCCGGCGTAAAGCAACCCGATGATACCCAGGCGGTTACCCCACGCCCGACCCGAATGTCCGGAGGAGTTCAGGACCCTGTTAATTCGGAGCTTCATGGTGTCTCCGGACTCGAAGGATTTGACGCCGTCAACGAGGCCAACGGCGGCTCCGCCAACGGCACCGGCGAGGTAGCTGCAGCCGGTGTAAAAGGTGAGGTTCTCGCCCCAGGAACGTCGCTTACGGCGAGCCTCCTCGTCGAAGAGGTACTCGGGGGAGGTTGGGAGCTGGTAGAGGTTTCGAATGGGGACTTCGAGGTCTTTGTAGGGGTTGTAGAGGCGGGTTTGGTTCTTGGATTCGGGATCTGAATCTTGATCTGGGGTCTGGTACGCCATGGGAGAGGCTTCCAGACTCTAGGGTTAGGGTTTCGCGTGTTAGAGAGAGAAACTGAGAGTTGCACAAGAACGACGCTGTGTAGTTTCTATTTCGAACCTTTGAGATTTTTGGGTGAAAAAATCGAACCGCTATGGCGGCGAGTTACGGAGCCGGTCCAGTTAGATTCGTTTTGGAATAAGGACCGGGTTCTGCGTCGAACCGGATGTGATTTTTTTTCTAGCTTAGAATAAAAAACGGTGTCGTTGTTTTTGACACGTGCTTACACATACAGAAATAAGCGCCGTCAGCCAATGACACTGTCCGTTTTTATTATCCGGAGGCAGAACAAATCTTCCATGCATCATGCCTCAAGTACAGTGTTGTTAAACTCTACTCTGGGCATCGATCCGGTCAGAGTACTGGGTCACTGGTTGGACCGGTGGGTCATTGGTCAGACTGGTTGACCTGAATATATATAAACATATAAAGATATATATATAAATATGAACATATAAATTCAATTATATTCTCCATATCTAAAATGAATTAAACAAGGTTCACTAAATAAGTTAAAAAACATGAAGCATAAATAAATAAAAGTGCATGTTATTACTATGTCAATTTAAATTGTAACTCAGAATCCTCATAAACATACCTCTCAATGACATTGAACTCATAGTTTTCAGATTCAACTACATTAAAATAACACATGTCACATTCTCTGTTTTATTATTTCACAAATTACTTCAGTATTGAAAACTAAGAGGTCATTGTAGAAGAGTATACTAGCAAATAAAATTACAAAAAGTTTTTAAAACGAGTTTTACATTTTTTTTGATAAGATGAAACAATTTTAATTTTTTTTTTAAATGCATGACCCGACCGGGTCATCAAGTTTGGCTGGGTTTGTCCGGGTTTTGACCAGGTCGATGCATGACCGGTCTAATGCTTGACCCGAACCGGTCTGGTGACTGGGTCACCGAGTTTCGGGTCGACCCGGCCGGGTCAGACCGGGTTTTACAACACTGCTCAAGGGTACTCAAGTGGATATTTTTTTTTCTAAATGAGAAAAAAAAATTCATTTAAATTTAATTTTTAATTTATATTTTCAGTAAAGCTTAATTTGTTTTTCCTTTTTAAATAAAATATAATTACCTCCCGATGCACCGAAGATTTGTTCACGATGACATGACCATGTCGTTAATTAAAATTGTAAGGGAAAAAATTATTCTGATATGCTACATGAGATAATTTTTTTTTATACATTCTTTGATAATTGTGTCATTTTTTTTTCAAATGGTAAAGCCCTCAAATTTATATCTATAACATAAGATAACTTATTTTTTTAATACGAGATTAGTAAAACACAAGTTTAAAACCCTTTGTTGTTTTGTTTTTTTAAATTTTTTCTTGACGGTACTTTTGGCATTTTCGATGCTTTTCTCTTCTTCCTTTAGAAGCACATATATAATACATTTTCTGGGTGATTATGTATAAATTTAGTTATAATGTGTTTGATTTCATTTTAAAATCTCAAAATTATAGTTTGGATGAAAATTGTAACAGGTAAATTCGACGATTAAATATAACAAAAGACAGTGCATTTTATCTCCATGTTTTCATTTAATTTTAGACAAAAAATTTATTTTTTGTTTGTTATTAATTTTTTATCCTCAAGTTACTTCCTCAGTTAGTGAGGGATCAAAAATAAAGTTTGTCTTTAAACTCAAAACCGAAAAGCTTGAAGTAAGATGTATTATGTTTATTGCTTAATTAACCATTAGATTTTGTCCTTTGAAACAAACTAAATTACTAATGGATTTTTGTCTAACTTTTACAAAGAATAAATATTTTATGAATACAAAATATAAAACAATTTTTTTTTTTTTTTTTTTGTATATCAATAAAACAATTTCTGATTACTACAAATCTTGCGATTATATATAATTGATAAATATGTTCATTTGATCTCAATTCATATCTATACAAATAAACATAAGGTGACAAAATTTCAATGGCGCATAACACTCTGGAAATTAAAGATTAGATTAGAAGTGAATGTACAAAGTAAATAAGGGTAAGAATGCTGGGGATTACGGTTCTCCTTTTTGTAACTTTTTTTGATTAATTAGACCCCAATATCTTAAAAAATAAATGAAAGAGCATGAAAACGGGTCTTCTGTTGATGTTGCTTGCTACAAATTTCCCAGCTGGTTATAAGAAACAAGACTTCATAGAAACTCTCGATTCATGACACACGACTCATGAGAAAGACATTTCTTTAAGTTGGGAAAAATAATTTGTTGTGACAAGAGACTTGAGCAACTTACAAACCAGCACCCTCGACAAACATCATTCTTATTCGTTTTCCCAACATGTTTCCTAGTTGGTGACAAGAGGCTTGGTCTCCATAATTGTCGTATGATGCTCCACATGTTGCCTCCGGACTTGGGGAGTTGATACCTTCTTCTCATATGGATCTACGTTGAATTTTCCATTTCCACATTAGGATTGTTACTCATTCCTTCCTGATTATAATGATAGAAAATCATAATTTTAAAGGCACTTCATATATATGACATGGGAAGTTATACTTTTATTAATTTAATCCTTCAAGATTGCTAACATTATGTTCCTGCATTGCTGTTTTTCTATATTAATAATAATCATGGTTGAACTTTTACAAACTAGAAGAAATCTAGATCAACACCTCAAAGCACATGCAAGTTTTTCATTAATTAAATTCAGTGAGTTCAATTCAAAGGTTGACTAACCTGTCTCGCAGGTAAAATATCATAATCAGTGGCTCCTCCCAGATTTCTGAGTCGATTCAGCTCAGGCAAAATGATAGAACCAAGGTCTGGTCTGTCACGTTTTCTCATCTCACAACACTTTAAAGACAACCTAGCATAAGATAAAGTTTCTCCAACAGGCCAATCTGTTACATTTGGATCAAGAACCTCTGAGAATTTACCATTGTTGATAGCCTCATCAACCAGGTAGGCCACACCAATAGGAGGCTTTCCAGTAATAATCTGTAGCAGAACTATGCCTAATGAATATATGTCTGATTTTACACCCAATAATCCTGTTTGTTGATACTCCGGGTCAATATAGCAAAATGTACCAGCTGCAGTTGTCTTGTGGTATTGAGTGGTTTTGTTTGGTACTTTAGGGGGAACAAGCCTTGCCAAACCCACATCAGTGATCTTGCTCACATAGTTCCTGTCCAAGAGAATGTTTGCTGGCTTGAGGTCACGATGCACAACTGGCTCTGGTCTTGTCTGGTGAAGATAAAGAAGGCCAGTGGCAATTTCTGATGCTATTTTGAATCTAGTCTTCCATGGAATTGGTGGAGTATTATCTTTCAGGAAGAGGCGATCTTCTAAGCTTCCATTTTCCATGTACTCATACACAAGGCATCCGTACTCTGGACATGCACCTAGAAGTGGAACCATGTTCGGATGTCTTATGGTACTCAAAACATTAACCTGCATTGGAGCCATTAAGACTCAAGACTCTAATTTTATATTATAATCCTTATATATTTAGAGGTAAGATACTTTGATATCAGTGTCAAATTTGAAGTTTGACACCTCATCTGAGAACCGTTAGATAAAAAAAATCAATGATGTCACATACTTACAAATCAGAGTCGTTGATCTTTTTTTATCTAATGGCTCTCAGATGAGGTGTCAAACTTCAAATTTGACACTGATATCAAAGTATCCTAACTCATATATTTAATATTGCATAGTTACTCATGTGATGTGACCATCACTCCTTTTTATTTGCAAAAATTATGGTTACCTCTTGTTGAAATTGCCTCTCCCCTTGGGTTATGTCTGGTTTCAAGGCCTTAACGGCAACAACAGTGTCATCAAGCACCCCTTTAAAAACAGGTCCATATCCACCTTCACCAATTTTGAGAGAAATGTCAAAGTAATTTGTTGCAACTTCAATTTCTTTAATATTGTATCTTCTCAATTGAATATTGTTATGTGCACTTGCATTCAATGCTCTCCTCCTCTCTTCTTCCTCATGCATGGCTCTTATTTCTTCCTTCTTTCTCTTCTGGGCCTTCATTTCTTCTAGGCGTTTTGACAATATTTTGGTTTTCTGCAATGCAGCCTCTTCAGCAAGCCTTGCTTTTTCAACGTTCTTTTCTTCTTGCCTTAACTTTTCAATCTCAATTGCCTAAATGACAAACACCAGTCTTTTTAAGTTCTCTTTTCCAGTGCATTATTCTGAAAGCCATTGGGGTAAGGTAGAATTTATAACATGACATTACCTTATGTTTTGCTGCAACAGCTTCCCTGTAGGCCGTACTATTCTTCTTTGATGTTCTCTTTGGTTCTAGTTTTAATTTCCTTATTTCTGTCTCCAAGCTTTTCTGTAAGATAACTCAAAACAAGGGGGGAAATTTAATTATCCATTTATGAAGGGGGAGGTTATTTTGTGCTTATCTGCACATGTTTTCAAACTACTTCATAAATGGAAATGGATCCTCTCATGTGCCAAAAAAACATGATATGGTCATGTGCGAAGATCACAACCATACAAAGGTAAATCAACGGTTATGATTTCGTAACTACTTATTTTATCATTTTTTCTCTCTCCTCCTTTTTTACCAGTAATCCATCTTTGTATGATTATGATTCCCCACATGACATAATCATGTGAATTTTCACGAGGATCCAGATCCTTCAGAAATAGGTTTTGTTTTTGTGATAGCAAAATAGAGGGGGTATATATATCTAACACTCAAGCCTCTTTCTGTTTTATATATATGACAAATTATTGTTACCAAAGATGTCAAATTATGCAGTACTTACTGAGGAATTTGTAGAAGATTTGTTCCTAGAAGTATTTGAGTTCTCTACTATATCTTGGTTTTCATGTGACGTCTCAGTCAATTGAGAACCAATTGGCCTTGAAGTATCACCGTTGATGGAACTTCGATTTGATGAATTTTGTGAGGAGCAGTTTTCATCTGATGGTCTTATTAGTGAAGTAGTCTCTCCATTGGACATACGTGGTGCCACCTGTATAGCGTCGTTGTTTTGACCAAAAGATGCCCCACCATTGTTTGAGCCTTGCCAAATTCTATGTTTTAATGATTTTCTGTATAAGTGATCGTTAAAATGCCAAGAACATATAATCAGTCAACGCCGAATTACATGTTTGAATGATTTTTTTGTAGAAACAAACAACAGACTATCAAAATGCTGGTGCGGGAGAACCCAGTATTCTCCTGGGAGAAGATAGTGTAATTTGTAAAAAAATTTATAAACAGATCCTTCCCCGTATATATATATATATATATATATATATATATATATATATATATATATATATATATATATATATATATTGTTAACAATTTTTCTCAAAAAAAAAATAAACATATTTAAGATACCTAAACAGAATAGCTGAAAGGACTTTGGAAGATAATTCAGTGCCAAAATTAATGTAGTTATAATACTACAAGTAATACAACTAGTTTGCATACCTGTTTAAATCTTCAAGCAGAGATTTTCCCTTGGGACCAGAAATGTCTTTAAGAGATTTTGTTGGTGTGATACTAATATTTTGAGGACGACCTGCTGGTCGAATATTCTGGACTCCTCCTTTTGATATAACATGCACCATGCAAGACTCTGGCAATGACCTCACTAAGCTTGTTGGCACATCGAAATCTCTAAATTTCCTGTGGTTGAAATTTGGCAAGACTATTTTTTCAAAGAGACCCAAAAAATATTTTCCTCAAAGCTTATCAAAATAGAGGAGAGATATACTTATGAACTAAAAGTTTTTACAACCTCTCGTCATCAAATCTTAACCGTTGATTTTTGCAATTTCAACGATTATAATTTATTAAAAATTAATAATTAATTAACAAGTGTGATTCAATAAATTATAATCATTAAATTGACAAAAAATCAACCGTTAAGATTTGGTTATAAGAGATTATAAAACTTTTAGGTAGTAAGTATATCCTCTTTCGTCGAAATAACCTAACTTTTTACAAGAGGTAAAATATGCTAAAATTATTAGCAGTTTGAATTACAGGTGCAATTTTATACTTCAGCAGTGATCAAACTAAGAAGGGTGTCGTGTGTATCACCAAAAATTAATTGCATGTGGGTGTGAGAAAGAAAGAGGACCTTATAAGAACATTCCAGCGGGAAGCACCGACAACAACATTGCTTATAGAGTTGTCAATGATGTAATTAATAAGCACGCTTGGAACATCAATGCTATGCATGACCAACTCCTTTGCTATAATCTGAAATACTCCATTAATGTCAATGAAATGCTATGGTATTAACACAAGTCCTTTCTAATAATGCTCAAAAACCAATAAGCAAATGCTAGGATTGAATAAGAATTTAAACTTTTGAACTTTAGCAGAGAAAGTATAAATTAATTTTAGAACATGATTGACTCCAAATTTGATTTTTAATAACCAGATAATCCTCATGGCACTCTAGTCCTATAGGTAAACAACAATATATAATCATGGCCATGGAAGGAAAAACTCACCCCCTTTCGAGCACAAAATCCTCGGAAGGGAAGAAAAAGCTGGTGCAATTCTTCTTCGGTTGGTGGACGACCTTGTTTAGGGACATCATCAAAATTATCTGCATAAATCAAATAAAAAACAATATATAAATTAAAAAGTTAATTGTCCATAGAAAGCTCCTATATTTATATATGAAAAATTATAGAAGCAATAATATAATTAATGTATTGATTGGATAAATCAAAATCAATTGTTACAAATTTAAGAGGCATAGGCAATATAATTTCAGCAACCCATAATAGGAGGGTCTCAGAGAAGGGTACCTACGGGGATACAAGGCCTTGGTTCTAACGTGAATGAGGGTGCATGAGGAGTTCTTCTTCAAAAGGTGATCGACGGCCCAAATGACAGCGCATTGGCTGTTCCGGTCTCTATCGATGGCGATGACGGTGGACCCTTGTTCATCATTTGAAGCCATGGATAAGATATTGAAAACGTTGGTTTGAAGGGATTCTAAGAGCAATAATCAATGAGGTTTATCCCATGTATGAGTCATGGTTTTGACCCCTTTTTACTATTTTTGGTGGGAATATAGGTTACACCAAAAGACCGTTGTATAGTTACTTGTTTGAAACATGTTCTCCTCGTCCCAAACAATACAATAGTTGACCACTTCTTTACTAGATATATACCTGAGTTGGATCGAACTGTAAACCCAATTTTAGCAATTTGAAACTGCAGTCATAAATATATATACACACCCATTATTAATTGGAGCATAATGTTTGGAATGAGAATAACTGGGTTAACAATAAGGCAAAGATTAGTTTCAGAAGAGAAATAATTATATTCGAACCTTCCTACGGTGTGTACGGTAGCAAGATGATAAGGAACATTGTCTCCCATCACATTTTACCAATAAATGTTACGAAGTTTATATGCGGGCAATATTAATTAATGTTTTTGTATTTTTTAAAATAATTGGGTTAATGAATATTTCAATTTAATCTATTGTGATAAGCCTATTATGATCATATTGAGTTGGGCTTTTGGCATCTTTTGGTATTGGGCCTAGTTGGGCAGCACAATGTAGGCATTAGTGTCTGATTAGGCTTCTGTGATTGATGGACCCATCAGACACACTGTTCATTAGGGTTTTGCTATGTCTCCTCACTAGCCTATTTATATTGGGGGTAAGCCTCATGAGCTGAATTGGTTCTTTACATGGTATCAGAGCATCGGTGTCCCGGGTTCGATCCTCGTCGCCCCCCACTTTCTTTCAGGTGAAATTTCTTTGTTCGCACAGGTAGGTGGGCATGTGTATTGTCCACCCTTCAAGCCCAATGGGCTTTCGTGTGAGGGGGCGTGTTGAAATATATAAAATCATTAAATGTAGCCTCACCCAACAGCTTAAGCTTTTGGGTTGAATTGGTTCTTTACATGGTATCAGAGCTTCGTGTCCCGGGTTCAATCCTCATCGCCCCCCCACTCTTTCTAGTGGAATTTCTTTCTTAGCACAGGTATGTGGGTCTGTGCATTGTCCACAAGTCCAATGGGCTCTCTTGTCTCTTGTGAGGAGGCGTGTTGAGATATATAAAATCATTAAAAAGTCCTCACCCATCAGCTTAAGCTTTTGGGTTGAATTGGTTCTCCCATCGCTGAGGGCTGCCATTTTCGGAATAGGTTATAGAGAGGAAGATATGGCATGTAGTTCCCTCCTTTTTTCCGCTTTGTGATGATCCAACTTTAATTTCATATTGTTTCGGTATTTTATAATCATATACACGATCCAGTGTTAAAATAATTCTTACATTTGGTATCAAAGCTTGTGCATATGATTATAGAATCCATGTAATCAAGAAATTGAGATTTTTTTTGGTACAATGCATTAATTGATGAACTATTTTTTATTCGATTAAATTGAGAACCTTAGAGTTTTTGTTTTACACATTGAGATCTTTTCATTAATATATGTTATGTGTATTTTTGTATTGAAGGGGAATTTCTATTCCCAAATTTTAGGGTTCATAAAAATAAAAATAAAAATTGACATCGTTACGTTTCGGCTTCGACGAGATGAAATTTGAAGTATGTTTTACCCAAATGTGTGAAGCATATGGTTGCACCCTTTCTCTTTCTAATCTACTTAAGGCTGGATAATCGAGAAATTATGATATGCGGAAGGGTCTAGAACTTTAATGGAGATCATGAGATCATGGAGTTGAGAGATTGTAACAGGGCCCTTTTACCACATTTTAAAACGGTTTAGTTATGGATACCATATTAAAACGGTTTAATTCAAATTAATTATAGAAAAAAATGACACGAAGCAGAAATTCGTTACACTGTGTAGCGAATTATGCTTAGATTCTGTCTGCTTGACACGTGTTATTTTTGCTGATTGTGCAGCCTAACATGACACATTTCGCTACAGTGTATAACAAATTATATGCAAACATATTTCGCTATACAGTGAAACAAAATATGCGCGTGACATTTTGAGAAAGTTTACTGTTAAATCGTAGTCTTTTAAATTTTTTTTGCACATGATAAAATAGTCACTATTCCATCACGTTGAGCTGATAGTAAGGGGAGGAGGGTAAGGGTAATGGGTTTTGTGTATAGGCATCAGATGCGGCAGCCAAAATACTGCTTTTAAGACGCAGTACTACCAACTTCCCGTTCCAGTCGGACGGTGCAGCTTTCCCATTGATTGGCCAAACTCGTCATGTTTAGATTCGCGTTAGCTCTGGCCTGCCACTGATAAAAATTATAGTTTGTATACAATGTCTCCTAACAATAAATGCAGCTCTGATTCAAACGCTTTTGACCATATGAAATTGCGCGTAATTCGTCGCTGCAAATGTTGTGTCTTAACGTGGTAACTTTGGTACCGCATCATTATGCATTACAATAATAATAAATTTGGTTAGAAAATTAATTCGGTCAAATTTTTTGAAAAAAATAATTATTGATAAATTTGATTTGATTGCTGCAAAAAATTATTGAAAAAATAAATTAACATATTATATATAATAGTAGGAAAAAATGTAATTAAGCCTTAAAATGAAAATGAGCGTAATACAAATACAAATGATTATCCGAGAAGGAAACATATGCATTAAAAAATCTGCATTTATCGTTTACCGAAAGAAAAAAAAAAAACTGCATTTATCAAAGCTTGCTTTATTAAAGTATTCCACGGTGGCCAACGCAAATACGATCATAAAAAAGGTGACATCACAAATTCCGTGGTGGCAATTAATAGCATAAATTTGATTAAAAAACAAAGGTGGTGTCAGACTGTCAGCCTACAATAAAAGTATTCTCTATTATGTTTCAATTGTTTTGGTTGATATGTTACCATTTTTTTCTGGGTAAAACGTTACGATTCAGTTTTACGGTAATACCTTTACGGATCTAACAATTAAAAAATTAGGGGGAGGTCAAAAAAGAAAGGAAAAGATACGTTTGATCGGAGGTGAAGTTAATAATTTTCTTCGTAAGTATTACTTTTATATTTAAAGCTAAATTTTAATTTTCTATTTCAAGGGTTACTTCTTATGTGATGTTTTGTTTTCTTTCTCATAGAAAAGAAGTAAATATATAATTTAACCTTTCTAGTTCTCTTTCCTATTGATACTAGGCTATCACTATTCTTCACTTTAATCTTTTTTAATATTGCTATTAACTATTGATTTTGATATTCAATACAAATTTAACAAAATTCAAATATTAATTTAGAATTAATCGAACGCTTCAAGTTTCAACTTTACCATATCTATGCTTATTTGTAAAGTTTTAAAAAAGGCTTTACGATTCTTAACTTTTTAGTAAAAGTCGATTTTTCCCCTTTTCTTTTTTTCGCATTGGAATAACAACAATATAATTTAAAAAAGAGAGAGGTGAGTTTAAGGGTGTCCGCATGAGATTCACAGGGAGAGAGATGGGAAATGAAAAGGAAAAATAAAATATTATTAAGAATCGAACCCATACATTATTTTTTAGATTTTATAATTCTCATTCAACATGAGAATTAAAATTTTTCTACACATCTTTCGATTTCCGTGCTGACATGGGTTCTACATATAATTTTTTCTAACATATGAGTCTCACATGTTTTTTGTCTCTACAACATAAAATTTCAATTCTTATTCAACATGAGAATTATAAAACCCTTATTTTTTATGTCTTTAATATTACCGTATTATTTGTCATACCGAGACCAATGCACATCACTTTTATTATATTATTAATTACTTATTTTTTTAGATAATAAAGTGAGATAAATACATTTTTAAAAATATTATCTTTCTTTTTTTAAGAAGGCAAGTTTACCAAGAGAGTTTCTTGCATTTAGGGTAACAGCAAGCTGGTTAAACTAGAAGGGTAACAGCAAACTGGTTAAACTAGAAGACAAAGTCAAATATTCTGTCTTAAGAAAGAGAACATGCTAAAAATATACATCACAAACTGAAAGCTTGCGGCCAAAGAATTGAACACTGTTCAATATTTATAGACCATGGTTAACATATTTTTTTATTATTTGATTAATTGTATATAAATTTCATGAATAACTTATGTCTATTTCTATAAATGAGGCCAATATAAAATTTTAATTGATTATTTTTTAAAAAAAAATATACCAGAAAAGTATGTGCGTAGTATTTAATATAAAGAATAAAAAACTAACACGCTGTTCGACGATGACTTGAAACAAACTTTGCATAACGCGTTTTCCCTCAACATCTATGAGCTCTATTCACAATTTTCATTACTTGTCATTGTCTTTCCAAGTTTATGCAATTACGTCACCCAAATTTTGAAGTTGAGTAATCTGTGATTGTCTCACGCGGAAAGCATGGCCATGACCGCATCATCTTACTGTCTGCTAGAACCTATAACATTTTTTTATGCTCATTAGTCATTACAGGCTACATATTTTAATAATATCTTTATGTAAATCATGTTCACAAGTAAGAGCAAGAAATACAATATTAATAGCAAAATCCAGGACTTGATGGAAAAAAAGGAAAGGAAATAAAATAAAATAAAAAAGCATTTGTGGGAAATTCCCAATGAAGATATTATGATGTGCTTGATAGATGAGTAACGTGATATGGGGCATGAAATGAGTTAGTCCAATGATTGGTCCATTGTAATAGTTTGCAAGTATCAAATAATTAATATTGGGGAAGCTTATTACAAGGCTCAATCTGACCATTTCTAAAGGGCACATGGACATGGTTTACCACCATTTTCTATTTGGCTGTCATTCCCGTGAGACAGCCAACAGCACTGAATTGCCAACAGCTTTTTAATATACATATTTTCAGACCACGATTCCCATTCCCACCCATCCCATCACTTCATTCACAAATATAGTTGTGTAAAATTTATATAAATAATTAATATATTTTATCTCTTACACATATATAAAAGTATGTAATGTGAAGAGAAAAAAAAAAAGTGACTCCACACATTTTTATATATATATATAAGAGATAATTTTATTTTTTACGACATAAGAAACACTAATCCCATTAGATAAACTAAAACAACCAATAACAAATACATTATTACTTTATATTAAATATTCATGTCCATTGTCACACAAAAAAAAATATATATATTCATGTCCATACTATATAAGCAAGCAAAGAAACACAAAAAGCAGAATCAAACCAAAGCAAACCATTCCAACAGCCATTGAGAAAAACACACAGAAAACAATTGTGTTTAAGAAAAAGATCACTTTCATCCAAATCAACTTCAAAATACCAACCACTTCACATCACACCAAAACCAAATGGAAGAAGAGGAAGACATGTTGCCACCCTTCTGGCAGCAAAACGGCAGCACCGACAGCCGTGGCCGCCGCCGCGCATACTCTGTGTTCCTCAGCTCCGGTGCTCTTCTCATATTCCTTCTTGTGACAGCACTTGCATTCACCTTCATCCTTGTTCCTACATTGCACTCTTTCACTTCCAACATTTTCAAACCCCATTCAGTGAAGAAGAGCTGGGATTCCCTCAACTTACTGCTTGTTCTCTTTGCCATAATCTGTGGATTCCTTAGCAGGAACACAAACGAAAGCCCACGTTCCTATGAAGACCAAAGCTTCTCAGACACAGCACAAGACTACACTAAACCATACCCAGAAACACAACAGCCATGGTATGAGTACTCAGATCGAACCCCTTATAAATCGCATAACAGGCTGAGGAGTTTCAACTCCTACCCTGATCTCCGGCAAGAGTCTTTGTGGGCCGCCGCCGATGAACAACGGTGGCGATTTTACGATGATACCCATGTTAACGGTTATCGTGAATTGGACTTGGATGCCAGAGAAGAAGAACTGGGTATCAAGAACATAGAAGTTGACACTTTTATCTCTTGTACAAAGGAAGTTCCCAGAGCGCGGCAGCCACCGGCATCGCCGCCGCCATCACCGCCACCAGCTCCGCGCAGTGGTGATGATCGAAGAAATGCTAAGAAAACTTATCGAGCTAGTGGCCAACCGGAAAATATGAATGAGAAATCAAAACATGGTGCTTTGAGAGCAGAGAGGTTACAACCACAGCCACAACCACCACCACCTCCGCCGCCACCACCACCGATACAGATGAGGACAGAGCAAAATAAGAAGAAAGGAGGAAGTGCAACTAAAGAGTTTTTGACATCTTTGAAGGGAAAGAAGAAGAAACAAAGACAGAGAAGCCTTGAAAATTTTGAAAGAATTCTAAATTCTAAACCTCCTACTACTCTGCCTTTACACCCACCACCTCCACCGCCGCCTCCTCCGCCTCCGTCATCGGTTTTTCATAATCTGTTCTCTTCCAAGAAAAGCAAACACAAGAAAATTAACTCTGCTTCGCCGCCGCCGCCACCACGTCATATTTCATCCATGCGTGTATACAACAAAACCGAACAGGTTCATGGGAGTGTGGCAAACCTTAAACCCTGGATGTCAAACACGAGAGAGGATTTCTATGCATTGGAAGAAAATGTGGTTACCGGTAATGAGTCACCCTTGATCCCAATACCGCCGCCGCCACCACCACCGCCGTTCAAGATGCCAGCATGGAAGTTCCGGGTGCAGGGTGACTTTGTTAGAATAGATAGCATTAGTAGTTCAAGTAGTGGTTCGCCAGATTTGGATGAAGTTGTGGAGTCACCATCCATTGAAGCAAGCCAGCGCATTAGTCCCTTCTCCCAAGATGGTGGAGAACGAGAAATCCTATTGTTCCATCCCAGCCCAGATGTTGATACCAAAGCTGATACTTTTATTGAGAAGTTCAGAGCTGGTTTAAGGATGGAGAAAATGAATTCCACCAAGGAGAAGCAGGGGATTGGGAAGTCCAATCTACGCCCTTCACCCAAAACAGAAAATAAACAAGAAAATGGACCACGTTGAAGCTACAAAAATTGATATTTGCTTTGTCTAAGTTCCTTAATTTGTTTTTTTGTATTCTTTTGTTCTTTTGAGAGTTCTTTTTCTAGAGTGGATTCTTTTGTTCCGATGTCTACATTGAGTTCAGATTCACATAGAGGAATAGGAGGATGAGTTCTTTTGTCAAAATTTCATATGACTTTTTCATTTGTAGATTTTGTATATGATACGCATAACACTCCCTTCCAAATATAAACAAATAGCCATTGCAGTCAGCGCATTTCGCTTCTATGTTTTGTGTGCTTAACACATGCAACAGAAAACAAATATCAAAATTTAAGCTCATGGTAAAGTTACCCAAAAGAGTTAAGGCAACTGTTCTTCCAAAGAAAAAAGCCTCATGAGTGGAAATATTTTAGAGTAAAATGCTGAAACTTCCCTTGTATTTTCTTATATAGACTCTAGTGTGTACTGTAAACCTAAATAATTATTCCTTGTAACCTAAAGAAACTCTGCCTAGACCTTCCCTGAAAACATACTGCATCAGACATTTCCCGTTTAAGGAAGGTTTGTGTAGCTTTTACAAACAGTGAGTAGTCTCTAGTAAAATAAGTACAAGGATTTATGTTTCTTATATTATATCCTACTTTGTGATGAGGTCATGTGACGTAAAGAGAGAAAAAAAATATGGACTCCACATATTTTTATGTGTATAAAAAATAAAATTATTTTCTATAATATGATAAACACGAATCCCTGAGTATAATATAAGGAAAGTTAACCAAAAGTATGGTTTAGGAAAACGTTTTCTGTTTTTATTTTTTATTTTTACTAATACGTATAAAAATATAATTTTATTTTTACTTTGTTCTTTATTTTGATATTTTCACCATTAAATCATTTTTATCCCTTCTTGTACAAATATTTAAAAACAAGAAACAAAATAAAAATAAAGTGACATTTTTGTAAATATTTTTTAAAGGAAAAAATATTTATCCTTTTAAATAACACAACTTGTATCATTTCACTTTCATAAAAAAGTGAGACCCACACCTTTATCTTATTTTTGTCCACTCTCTTCCTATGATCTATCTCTTTCTCTTACTTAAAATGACACAACTTTACAGTTTTTAAAATGATACACACTTTTTTCTTTTTTAAAACAGGAAACAAAAACAAAATATATTTTCTTAAATCAAACAGCCCCAGAGTGTTTTACTCAATATACTATGAAAATTTATTCTTTTTCTTTTGGAAAACATCCAATTTCTTTAAGAAAGGGTATAGATTCCCCAATGGTTCTCTATGTTAGTTATGTAATTTAATATTGTTAAATATTGCTAGTGTCACTAGTGACTTTTTAAAAAAAAAAAAAAAGGGAATTATACTAAACTATTGTAGGATATTAACAAACGGGTTAAATGTCTCCCATATTGTAAGATATAAAATTATCTTCTAATTTTATCTTTTACACTCACATAAAAATGTACAGGGTCTATTTTTTTTTCTCTTCCTTTCATATAATCCCACATAAGAACCACATACATTTAATATGTGTATAAGAAATAATTTTATTTCTTATAATATGATAAGCATCGCACCCTTAACAAAAATGTGAAAAAGTACTGTATTGTTTGGCTGCCAGATTAATACTTTTATTTTCTGAAACCTTTCCGTACAAATAACTTCTACAGAATGGGTGCGGAGGAGGAAATATCTTCCAAGACTAACTGATTTACTCTAATTGGTTACTTGTCCAAAATTTCAAGTGTGCTTGTGATGATCAGATTTTAAAAGTCTAAATTATGATCAATGAGTGAATTTAAGGAAGCTGGCAAATACAGTAATTCACCAACTAATACAGAGTCTGGGTGTTTATAACTTGTACAAGTTAATTGAACTGAGCCATGGAATTCCAATTTGTTATTACCTTGAATACCTTCAACCCAAAAAATCTTCACCTTCCCCTGCTATAAACGCTGGTTTTAACTCAAAAATTCAGCAATCATGGAGCCTCAGGCCTTTATTGAGATTACATTTGCAAGGATCATTCTTAGATTGCAGAGAGTTGCTTTGTTATACCAATATTTAGCTTAACGGCTAAAGCCACCAGCATAACACGTAAGAAATTTGTTTATTTATTCAATTTTGGGATTTTTTGGTTTTTGTGGGGTAAGGGGGTAGGTCAGCAATCCAGTTACAAGCCAATGATGAGCGTTCCTCATCTTATCAAATTCATTTCTAAAGGAGCTATTAAATGCTCAACAAAGATAATCTACAACAAAACCAGTAAGCATGCTCCAATATGAAGCAGCATACAGAATGCAAGTAAATTATGACAAGACTTAATGCTAATAGAAAGACAAAACAAAGCCTAAAGTAAATAAGCAGCAGCGAAGAAAGGACACAGGAACAAAACTCACAATGCTAACCTAGTGCTTTGGAGCCTTACTCTGCAAATACTTCTTCAAAACATCCATAACCGATCCAAAGTCTGCCTTCACTTGCATTGGTGGGTTAGCAAACCGGCAAGCCATGTCCTTGATCTCCTTGGAATGGTAATCAATTTTGGACTGAGTAAACTTCAACCCATGAGCGGTACTCACCACCACAGTCCTATCAGTAGGCTTTATAACCCCACTATTCCTCAGTTTAAACAATGCAGTCAAAGCAACCCCAGTGTGGGGGCATATAAACATGCCAGTGGAGTCTGCTTGAGCCATAGCATCCATCAATTCCTCCTCGGTTGCTTCCTCAACAATCCCAAGTGAGTTCTTTAAGGCAAAAACAGCCCTGTCTATTGAAACAGGATCACCAATTTGTATGGCAGATGCAAAGGTGGGGTTGGCCTTAACTGACTTAAACTCTTTCCACCCTGACTTGAAGTATAAATAGAGTGGATCAGCATTAGCAGCTTGAGCACAAACAAGCCTGGGAATCCTATCCACAAGTCCTAACTCTTTACACATTTGAAACCCTTTGTAAAATGCATATATATTCCCAAGGTTTCCACCTGGAACAATGACCCAATCAGGGACTTGCCAATCAAACTGCTGCAAAATCTCAATAGCTGCAGTCTTCTGCCCCTCCAGCCTCAAACTATTCAAAGAATTAGCCAAATAGATAGGCAATTCAGCAGTGACTTCTCGAATCAACTGCATACACCCATCAAAATCAGTATCAATACTCAACACAAAAGCACCATTGGCAATTGGCTGCACCAATTGGGCAAGGGAAATTCTATTAGCAGGCAAGAAAACAATGGAAGGGATCCCCGCAGAAGCACAATATGCTGATAAAGCAGCAGAAGTATCACCAGTTGAAGCACAACCAACACCAACAACAGGCCTATTCATTTTTCTCAAGCGATTCACTTGGCTAACCAAAACAGTCATACCTAGATCCTTAAAACTCCCCGTGTGACTAATCCCACAGTGCTTCACCCACAAATCACTCATGCCCAGAAACTGTTTGCCGAAACGCTCAGCCCAGAAAAGGTTCGAGTTTCCTTCGAAGGCACTCACGATGTCGTCGCTGTCGATCTCCGGCAGCACCCATTCCTTCTTGCTCCAAACCCCTGACCCGTAAGGCCAGGTGGTCTTGCCGACGCGAGAGTCGAAGAGGGTTCGCCAGTAATCGCCGTCGAATCTCTTGAGGGCTTCCATGTCGTGCTGAACGTCGAGGAGGCCACCGGATTGGGATCTGTAAACGATCTCGTCGAGGGAGTAGGACTCCGTGGAGGACGGGTCGGCGTTGAAAGGAACGTACTTGGCGGAGAAGAGGTGGGGCTGTGACACATTCTTGCGGCGAGCCTCGTCCCTGATGTTCTCGTCGGCGGCGCGGCGGAGCTTAGAAGCCTCCGGGGGGGAAGCGGATGAGGGGGAGTTGTTTTGGGTGAGGGAGGAGATGGGTTCCGATTGAGCTTTAATGGTGAAGTGGGTGGGTTTAAGATGTTGGTTTGGAACACAGGTTTTGGTTTTGAGGGAGAAAGGCGAAGAATGAAACAGAGAGGAAGAAGCCATTTGAATGAGAGAGAGAGAGAGAGAGAGAGAGAGAGAGAGGGCGGCTGTATTCGAAAGAACAAAACATTGAATGGTCAATCCAGTTTTAATAGTTGCGAGCCGCCGCGACTGTGCACGTGGATCCAAGTTCCACCAATACATTGCCATTGCCCTATTGTCATAGAAATTCAAGTTAGGATTTCATTCAAAAAGAAATTCGAGTTAGGATTAATGTAATCCATGTTTTTTTTTAATTAATATTTCCTGATGTAGGCGATGGTTATCGACTTAGCCGAGGTCATGAGTCATAGATTTCATCGGAGGGCCATGGGTCAATTTGCTGACCCGATTTTATATATTAAAAAATATAAATATATATTTTATATGAAAAATTCAAAAAAATCAAACCACCAATCATCAAAGATTCAAAATATACTTGACATAATTGAACCAATTACATCCATAAATCAATATTACATAAGCTAATCAAAGTATAAGACACATATTCCAATGGAGTTAATGAAAAGTTATATCATCAAAGTCAGGCTCTCATTGTCCTTCTTTGCCATTTATCTAAACTCTAGAGAAAGAATGTCATCACAAAGAGAATAGAATAATAGCCTCTCTAACACCCCGTTCTAGAATCGATTTGTTAACATTATTTATAATATTAAGCGAGTTACAATCACAATAATTGAATTATAGTTAGGGATAAATTTTTCTTTTTTACTTTCTTAAGCATGGTTCCGTACTTACATTATTCAAATATAGAATTGCAACTGATACCTAAAGCAAAAAAACATAATATATACACTTAACATCATTATCCAAGTAGCTACCATAAGCATACAAGGTGTAAAACTCTATTTTTCTAAACCTGGAACATGTGGCGTTCCCACTTTGGGGTCATTCCCGCTCTGATGAAAGTCGTTTCCCTCTTTGGGAAAGTTGTTCCCTTCTCTGGGAAAGTCGTTCCCCTTTCTTGGAAAGTCGTTCCCCAAGGTCATTCCTGTCCCCACGGCTGTCAAATTTTTAACAATAATTTACTACTGGTTCTGGCAGCCATGATTCAGACTTTAGGGAGAAGAAATTAGACTCCTGTGGCTTTAAAATGATATATTATATGCCCGGTTTTGTTAAGGAATGAAGGAGATATGGATGTTCTAATTCGACCCTACTTTTAAAATAAAATTTGACAGCACTTGGCTGTTCCTTTTTGTTCAGGGATACTTCCCAACACATTGACACCTAATTGACATAGATTATGGTACCATACACATATTCATTTAGGCACATATGTACAAATCTCAAGACATGCAAAATAGGCATCTGTACCCTTCCATCATAATGCATCAATTCCAATATTACTCAATGTCCAATAATCTTTAATACATAATCATAGAACTTAGCTACAAAACACTATGATCAAATCCTTGGCTCCCTCCAACAACATGAGATACCAAAGTAGATGAGCATAGGCTAAGTCCACCAAAATAAATCATAATGTATATCAAATGTAAATCCTATACATGTTCATCTAACATATACATAAGATATCTCAAAGTACATTTAAAACATGCCATATACATATGTACTCTACTGTGGCCTCTTACCAATGGATGCTCCAACATCATCTGTACCTGAAAGGGGGGACCATAACGCGGGATGAGATATACATATATATCTCAGTAAACTAAGTGTCCTTGAAGGATTCCTCCGCCCCAAAGTTCACTTTGGCATAAAAGTATGACATTATGACAATAAAGCATATAAACATATATCAAATACAATGTGTGCAATATTAATCTACTGGCCAGAGATCTACAGTGTATGTATTATGCAAGGAAACAACCTTCTTGCAACATACCATGCATAAGGAAACAACCTTCTTATGCCTTACACAAGGAAACAACCTTCTTGTGTGGCACACAAAACAACATACATAAAATGCTAAATATCATAATTCATGCAATTACACATACCACATAAACCATAATCCACTCGAGACTTGGTGGAACAACAAAGGGATAAAACTCAAGGTCCAAAAGCTTACTATAATACCCCTAATTTAAGAATTTAATTAATTACCTATAATTAAGTAATTAAGCATGTATAAGTGGGTAGAATTAAGCAAGAGGTTAAAATTAATGAGTTAAGAGCACTTTTGATGTAAAAAGTGCAGTCAGTGAAAATTATGAGATAAAAATGTGTGTAGGCAAAAGTACTCAAAATGTAAAAGTAAGGCTAAAAATATTACTAGAAAAATATTCTAGTCCATTGGGTAAAGTTTGGTAGTGAGTTGAAGTCTTTAGATAGATAAGTTTTTACCCGGTTGAAAGTTACCTACATTATGTCAAGTGAAAAACAAAGACTTTCTTTGCCATTTGATCAGCCCATTCGCGTGGAAAGAAAGAGAACCAAGAATCTATAGCCAAAAGCTCCAAAAACCCAACTCCTCCATTTCTCAACCAAATCTTAGTTCTTGAATCAATCTTGCTTAGAATTGAGAGACAAACACAACCCATAATCCATAATCTACCAAAATTTCTTGTGTAGAGAGAAAAATGGTGAGGAAGGTGGTGCCCTAACTTGAGATTGGTGGACTTGGAGTGTCCCATTGGTTGATTTAAAGCTTGGAATCTACTCCCTAAGTGATTCTAAGGTTAACCATGGTAAAAAATCCCATTTTCCTTGAGTTTTATGATGTTGGATATGTTAGGGTTCTATTTCATGAATATACATATATGGTGGGGTAGTCTAGAGGTTGATTGAGGCTTAGTTCCTTTAGAAAAGTTGTTTAGATAATGATTTAATCGGTAGAAATGAGCTTAGATTGTTATTTGAATATTGTTCAATATATTGGAAAACTCATGCTTGGGCTTCAGAGTTTTCTAGCATTTTGAGCAATTAGTGAAATGGATGGTGGTTGAATATGTCCATTGTGCTGATAGGGTTGGAGTAAGCACCACCTTTGATTGATCAAGAATCGGTGGAGACCATGGAACTTGATTAGCTCACTTGAATGGGTATTAATTGTGAAGTTTGATTGTTGCAAACTTGTTGGTGAACAAAGATTGGATTGGAAGCATTGAGGTAAATCTTTGGACCTTGGGGTTGATCCCCTTGAATGTTTCACCATACTCCGTTGAGGAGGAATGGTTTATGAGGTGTGATATGTAATGATGATAGTAATTGTATGCTCATGCATTGATAAATGTTATGATTGATGTTTGATTGTTTAAGAGTAATTGAGGAATGATTAGTAGATGTAAAAGTAATGAATGAGGTAATGGTTGAGGATTATGATTGATAGTGTTATGATGAGGATGATTGGTAGGAATTTTCTTTGGAAACAGCCCTATGTGGATCTCCATGTGGTCAGAGCCCAAGAGAAATAGCTCTATGTGGATTTCTCTCGGAGGTTCCTAGATTGAGGTTAGGGACTTCCCTTGGAAATAACCTTATGTGGATCTCCATGTGGTAAGAGCCTAAGAGAAACAACCCCTCATGGATCTATCTTGGAAGTCAATGTCATGTTTATGGATAAAAAAATGTTAAGCTGTTATGATTATGTTTGCATCGGAAGTGAACCTTAGGGTGAAGTGATCTCCAAGGACCCCTGATTTACTGTGATATATTTGTATATTTCACCCCGTGCTGTGGGGCATCATTTCAGGTACTGATAGAGGTGAGACTGAACGAGGCAAGAAGCATGAGTAGGTTGTACCTGCTGGCTAGACATTTTGAGTTACATGCCATTTAGAATTGTTATATGTATTTATTTTAAGGTCATATGATGTATTTTGGAGGATTTAGTGCATGATCATTGTAGTAGTAATTGGTATTTGGTATATGGCTAATTGTTTTGATCCTGTTTATTTTGGTAGCTAAGTCCTTTGGCATATGAAATTTGGAAAAGCATTGATGTAATTGAAACTTTAATATAATGATGAATATAAAGTTATGTTTATCATTCTGATTTGCATGATGAATTGGTGAAGTGATTGTGGGATGTAGGTGCCACATGGTGTGTGACCATGGTTGGTCTTTCCTTGTCAATTAAGTGTTATGACCCTTAAAGAATGAAAGGGGAATGAAACTTCCCCAAGAAAATCACCAAAAACAGGGGAAACCATGTTTGCCCCAAGTGGAGGGCGCTTAAGTGCCGATTTGAGCGCTTAAGCGCGCTTTGTGTGAGAAATAAAGTAAAGTTCACTTCCTCTGGGCACTGAAGCGCACTAAAGACCTGTAGATGTCCAATTCCCACTGCCAGTGCGTGCTTAAGCGCGCTGCCCGTTTTTAGCACGAATATAAGTTAGTAAAATTAGCATAACTCGAGCTACAGGGCTCCAAATTGAGTGAGGTTTAAACTTATGTGAAGCTAACACATAGAGCTATAATCTGTAAAATATTAGAGCCATTGGATGAGTATATCAATGTAAGTGTAGGATTGAATTTGATGCTCTAATTCTAAAAGTTCGGTTTTGTCAGCTACGTTGCGAGTTTAATAACTCCGGCTATACTTAACCAAATGGTTACTGTAATATCTTTCCAGAAATCCCTAGATGTCTAGTTTGCCATAATGAAAAGGTTAAAGTTAATTGTTAAGTGAAGTGATCTCAGTTTAGAGAATGTTACATGGTTATAATTACGGTTTTTTTTTAAAAGTAAATGAACAATGTTTTTGTGAAAAAATTTATCCGTAGTTTTAACTAATCAATGTGATTGTAACTACGCTTAATATCATATTTGATGATAACACACCGGTCCGGTAACGGGTTGTTACACTTACCTTATAATGCTTCATACCCAATGCTTGGTCTAAGCACCAAAGTTCCACAATAGCTAGCTTTCTCTCTAAGCAATAATCAATATCTTGCCAAATAATCACCTACTTGACAAGATACAATTGCAATAAACATCAACACACCATCAATTGCAACCATGTGAATATCAACATATATTCATAACCAACATAAGAAATTCCATACCCCATTCATATGGTCATAAACTCACCTTCACTTGAAATAACTCAAGTGCCAATATCAAACTCCATTAGATCCTCCAATGCTTGATCAATCAAGATAGGTCCACTTGTCTCCAACCTAGAAGTACCATGAACACAATAAATACCAACAATCCAAGTCACGTTACTTGAAATGCAAGAATTCACACCATCTAGGCCTAATTTTTGAAATTTGATGAAGATGGGTAAAATGATCTTCCAAATACATTTTTATCATTAAAATCATCATCTAAACATTTTTCACAACTTGGCCTAAGCATCAATCAAGCTCTAACTACCTCATTCAAATACCATTTTCATAGGAAAAACCTAGAAATCCAATATCCATAAAACTTGAACCAATTTAGGATTTCTTACTATGGGTAATCTTAGAATCACCTAGGGAGTGAATTTCAAGCCTCCAATCAACAATGGGTCATCACTTTTCCTTCCATTTTTCTCCTAATACAAAGCTTTTTGATAAATTATGGTTTGGGGTTGTGTTTACCTCACAAATATAAGTAATTTTGCTTCAAGTCTCAAGTGATTTGGTTAAGAAATAAAGAAGTTGAATTCTAAGCTCAAACAACAATGAGTGTCGCTTTGCACAAAGAGAGAGAACGAAGGAAATGGAGATTTGAGTGGAAAATGAGAGAGAAAATGAGTTTAAAAGAGTTGTAACATCTAATTAGGTACAAACTTATCTACCCCGTTCACTTAACTCACTTTTGAATTTATCCTATTGGCTCAGAATATTTTCACAGTAATATTCCCCAAATTATTTTTAAGTTTCGAGTAATTTTGCTTACATATATTTGTACCTCAAAACTCCCATCAACGGTGGGGAGAGAAGAGCCAACACGACGGAGGAGAGGGAGAGAGAAGACCAATGAGGATAGGAGGAACCACCACCACGGTGGAGGAGTCTCGGTTTGGGAGAGAAGATCGAAAGAGAAGAAGAAGAATGATTCAGATTTCAAATCTAGTTCTAGATCTAGGCAGCAATGAGTTTTTTATGAGTGTGTTTTTTTACACACCAAATGATATCGTTTCGTGTGTTAAATAAAAAAAAAATACATTAACCCCTCTGACCCGTGAGTCACCAAGACCCGACGGGGTCAACGTGCATGCAAGGTCTAACTGTTGACCCCAACCCTCAGAAAGAGGGGGTCAATGACCAGGCACGAGGTGGAGTTTTAAAATATTGGTTGTAGAAGATAATTTTATTTCCTATACAGATATAAAAATATGTGAGGTCCATATTTATTTTTGTCATAATTTATATTTTTAATTTATACTTAAATTTAAAATAATCGTATTGTAAATAACCAATTCAACCCAAAAGCTTAAGCTGTTGGGTGAGACTATATTAATAATTTTATATATCTCAACACGCCCCCTCACACGAGAGCCCATTGGGCTTGAAGGATGGACGATGCATAGGCCCACCTACCTTTGCGAAGAAAGAAATTCCACTAGAAAGAAAGTGGGGGGCGGTGAGGATCGAACCCGGTACGCCGATGTTCTGATACCATGTAAAGAACCAATTCAACCCAAAAGCTTAAGCTATTGGGTGAGGCTATATTAATGATTTTATATATCTCAACACGTATAATGCAATAACTACTTGCTAGGACATGAGTACAAGTGGAGTTTATAAGCTCACTAATACTGATATTATCATCCATCAATCATGATGTGCGGTATAGATGTATGGTTACTCCATAGCCTTGGAAGGTGATGGTAGACAATGTTTTTCTCCTTAAAAAGCTAATCGATGGAGAATTAATCAGCTTGAAGCTTTGATCATTAAGAGTTTCACCAATCGGTAAATACTTGAAGTCATCCCATATGTTTGAACTTAGAAGAAGCACTGCACGGAGGTAAATGAAACATGGATATATGCAAATACAAATGAGGGGATGATAAGTTGGCAGCCATTATGAACTATGAATTATGTACCTAGTAGCAGAGGTAGACCCATGTATGGACAAATTTCCGCACGTGCGGACATAAAAATTTAGATTTTAGAATTTTATTTTATTTTTTTACTTTCTGATGGTCCTTATTTGTTGTTTCTTGGTTCAAAATGGTAACATGACACTCAGTTAGCAGGCCACACCGCTCCACTCCACCGTTTAAGCTTGCAGTTGCAGGCTTCGTCCTCTTCTCCTCAGCCATGCCATCACACAGCAAAGGCCTTATCTCGACTCCGGTTGCTCCACCACTTGCGTCGTCCTCTTCTTCGTTCTCTCATGGTAAAGCTGTAATTTTTTTTTTCATTTATCACTTCATGTAATTTCAACTTTGATTTACTATTATTGCAGTAGTGGTTTTCTCTCTATTTTTTTCTTTCCATTTTTGTTATTCGATGGAAGATTCTTGACATATCAGTTAGCATTTTTGTTGTGGTTGCATGTTGTCATGATTCCTATTAAAAGCTTATTTTTTTTTTTTCTAAATTTTGGCCTTTTTTATTTAGTATTATGATTTTTTAAGGATTGAGCAGAGTCTCATTGTCAGTTATTGAAGTCACTTTGTAGCAGAGACTAAACTTATTTAGGCATGTAGAAAACAGAATCAATACAATTCTGAATTCGGCATGGATGAACTGTGAGGATTGACCGGTGATAATTCCACACTTCGCTACTTTTTTTTGTGAGTGGATTGTTCTGTACCATCTGCTTGCTGATTGAATCTTCTCCGCTTGTTCTAATATGACCGTTGGATCTCCTTTTCTTGCCCACTTACTATGATCTATTTGCAATCTCATTCTACAACAACTTCTATAAGTTATTAAACAATCTGTGTTGAATTGAATCCTTAACCCTGGATTCTAAATTTTTTTCCAGAGAATTGTGTTTGTGAAATTTTGATAACCATGAAATGAATGTTCTTAGGTGTCTTTTTGTTTTATGTTGTTTTTTTAAAAGCTGACATTCAAATACTCAACCTGATTTATTTTTTTAACATAATATAACTTCATTTAGTTGAAAGCACACAGTTAGAATTGTGTGTGTGTAATTTTTTTTATATACCATATCATATAACTCATGATATTTTATCTAGCGAGTAGATATCACTTTGTAAGGAATAAATTCACTCTACTAGCATCTTAAATTTTGTTGTTGTTTAGTGGTTTGGTATTTATTTCTCCATGTCATCTTAAATTCACTCTACTGCTTTTACCCCATTCATCCTTGCTTTCATTGTTGTTGTTTTCTTTACTATTGCTGAGAGAGAGTGAAAAAAACAACATAAATAATAATATTCTAAACTTCTAGTAAAATATGTTTAATGATTGGGTTAATTACTTTGCATCTTTCTTTGTGGAGAGAGCTTGCACGTACGTACTGCGGTTTTTGAGAATTGAGGCTTGATCCTTGTGCACTTTCGGGCTTCTGACTTCTGATCATAAGAGATGTTGTATTAGGTTTAACCTCTTGCATATTTGTAACGATTGTAAGGAATAAATTCACTCTACTAGCATCTTAAATTTTTTTGTTGTTCAGTGGTTTGGTATTTATTTCTCCATATCATAATTTTTTTCCATATAGAACCTTGACTGTATTTTTGTATGGAATAAAAGATGAGAATACTAATTTCCTGTATCCATGAAGTATGCTTAGTTAGTTCTTTTGCTTTTTCTCTTGCAATGATTGTAACATTATTTTTTTACAGATATTCTTTTGGTTTTGAATCTGTGGCTAGCAAGTGCAATAATTGATTGTAAGAACGAATTTAATTTGCAAATTGGGAAATGCTTTTCCATGTGTGGAGTTTTACTGAGTTAGCTATTGTGCCTTTATATGATAAGATAATACCCTACGGTTAATATATATTTGTTGTATAAAATTCTACAGCTGTAGAAAGAGACAGATCAGAGTAATCTTTATTGCTCAATGAAGAATGCCATTTGGGTTATTTTGATTGCACTTATGGTGTAATATTGTAAATATTCACAAGCCTCTCTGTAATATTCATAATAATTCGGCAAGTCTCAATGAAAGGTAACTTTCTATATTTATTTATTTGTTATAATTGTTTTAATAACAACAAATGGCAAAATTTATATTTACTTTTGGATTTGTCAGGGATACAATCTTATTTCAAGCGTAAAAAATGCACAAAGATAGAACCCGAATGCTATGAACCTCATAGACAAAATGTTTCAATTGTGGAAAATTCTCCTCAATCTCAAAGACAAAGTGTACCACCACAAGCATCTCAATTTCAAAGTTTTCAATCACCACCTCAAGCAAAAGTTAATATAGAAAATCTTGAAGCGGATCCAAGAAAAGACCTTCAATTTGTTCAATGACATCAAATCCTATAGAGAGAGAGGATATTCGGAGAGCTTATTTGCTCAAGGGTCCAACTCAACCAATTCTTAAACCATTTCCTCAAACGGAAATGTTTGGAAAAATGCGTAGATTAAATCCTAAGTGGTATGAAGAATTTGGTTCTTGGTTGGAGTATAGTGTATCACGAAATGCATGTTTTTGCTTGTACTATTATCTATTTGATATGGATGTTGGAGGTAGTGGTTTGACGAAGGAAGCATTTGTCGGTGTGGGGTTCAAAAATTGGCAGAAGAAGGATAGAATCAAAGTTCATGTTGGAGGTCATAGGAGTGTTCACAATAGATGTTATCAAGCTTGTCAAGATTTGATGAAGCAAAAGCAACATATTGCTATTGCCTTTTCAAATATTTCTAAACAACAAAGAATTGATTATCGTATTCGGCTGAAAGCTTCTTTAGATTGTGCTAGATACTTACTACGAAATGGTCAGCCTTTTCGGGGACATGATGAATCTGAAAGTTCAAATCAACAAGGTTTATTTCTTGAAACTCTAAAGTTTATACTAAGCCAAATAAGGAGATGAGTCATGTGGTCTTGCAAAATGCCCCCGATAATCACAAAATGACTTCACCAAAAATTCAGAAAGGTCTTGCTCAAGCTTGTGCTGATTTGACTGTTAAAGTAATAATTAGTTATCTCGGCGATGATTACTTTTCCTTGCTAGTTGATAAAGCTCGTGATGTTGCAATTAAAGAACAAATGGCAGTTGTACTTCGGTATATAAACAAAAAGGGGTCCATTGTTGAATGTTTTATTGGCATAATTTATGTTTCAGATACTACTACGCAATCACTAAAAGATGCGATTGATGGGTTATTTTCTAAACTCGGCTTAAGTTTGTCTAAATGTCGCGGCCAAGGCTATGATGGTGCTAGTAATATGCGGGGTGAATTCAAAGGGCTTAAGAGTTTGATTTTGGCAGACAATAAATATGCATTATACATTCATTGTTTTGCTTATCAATTACAATTGGCGCTTGTGAAGGTTGCAAAACATTATAAGAAGATTCAAGAATTTTTTGACATGCTTCAAAAGATGGCTACCGTTGTGGGGGGTTCATGCAAGCGGAAAGAAATTCTTTTAATGAATCAATATGAGCAAATAGTTGAAAGAATTGCTCGCGGTGAAATACTAACTGGAAAAGGTTTGAATCAAGAGACAACCTTAAAGCGACCTGGAGACACTCGTTGGGGATCCCATTTTGGTACAGTTACAAGTGTTATCTCATTATTTTCTCCAATAATTTCCTTGATGAAAATTATTGAAGACGAGCCTAAGAATGATGCTACAAGAACTGATGCAGGTTGTATTTTGTATGCCATGGAGGATTTTGAGTTTGCATTCTTGTTGCATCTTATGAAACTTATCTTGGGGATTTCTTATGAGTTGTCACAAGCACTACAAAGAAAAGATCAAGAACTTTTAAATGCAATTGGTTTAGTAAAGGTAGTCAAGTCTCGCTTACAAGAGGTGAGAGATAATGGTTTTGATGAATTGCTTCAAGAAACGAACATATTTGCCAATAAATATGATATTGACATTCCAAATATGGAAGATGTTTATTTTCCTAAACGAAGATCAAGACGGAGATTGGAATCATTCACATTCTTGCACTACTTTAAGGTGGAGTTATTTAATAGAGTGATGGATACTCAAGTTCAAGAGTTGGGTGATCGATTTGATAATGTCAATACCAAGTTGCTTGAGTGTTTGAGTTGTCTTGATCCTCGTGATTCATTTGCTACTTTTAATAAAGAAAAGTTGATTGAGTTTGCTAGATTTTATCCTTTGGAGTTTGATGAGCTTGCAGATATTCCTTTTCTTTCTTCAAGTCTGAGTAATTTTATTGTTGATGTAAGAGCTGATTTTGATTTTGTCAATTTGAAAAGAATTTCTGAACTTGCTTTGAAGATGGTTGAGAAGAGAAAGGATATTGTTTATCCATTGGTCTATTTATTAATAAAGTTGGCACTCCTTCTACCGGTAACAACTGCTAGTGTTGAACGAGTTTTTTCTGCAATGACCTTTGTTATGGATAAGCTGCGCAATCAGATAAGTGATGATTGGTTTAACGCATGCATGCTAACTTATGTTGAACATGATATATTTGATAAGATTGATGATGAAGATATAATGCAATATTTTCAAGCAATGAAGAATCGAAGAATGCTTTTGTGAACACTCTATTTTAATAGCTCAGTTAACTTGATCTTTTCTTTTATGTTAAATACCTTTTTTGTGTTGAGATTAAATGTCAGTAATTCTTATGGTAGAATACTGTTTTTCAGGTAGTAACTGAAGAGATAGGATAACTTGATTTTCTGGGTTTGCACACTTCAATCGCTCAACTCAACAATCATTGGACATAGCTTCACTGTCATACTTGCTTCACTGGTAACATTTAATAACTGAAGAGATAGGTAGTATCTGCCTAGAATTGTTATTCACTTTATATGTTTTTTCCTGCATTGATAAGTCAACTCCTCCATATAAAAGTTATATCAAAAAAATTTCCGAGGGCGCTGCCCCCGAATCTCCGCCACTAAATGTGCGGACATGAATTAATTTTTCTGGGTCCGCTGACAATTTGAAGTTATAGTTCTTTCATGCTACTGAACCGACAAACATTATACACCAACAATGAACCTGGACATGGTGCATGGATTGAGCTTCCAAAAGTACTTGACATACTGATTGTTAGGTTTTCCATACTTTTGACAATCAAACTTAGCATCTAGGCAAAGTCAGAGAGAAAATATGAAGGATTAATGACCCAACTTCCAAATGAACAATTTACATCCCCTAAATTCCTTTCTCCCTCTTAAGCGAGTTGCTTTATGCTACTCTTCACTTTCTTGGGACATCGATGCAAGCATAGCTGGGCAACCAAGAAAACGAAAACTAGGTCTGAACCTTAAATAACATATGGTACTATTTTAGAATCTAAAAGCTAAAAATGATAAAAATGAGAATGGTCTGGATAATGGTAAGTTATAAGAGTGTGTTTGGTACAAGTTTTTGTTGAAAATGTCTAGGCAAATGGAAGTGGTATTTTTATATGTCTATGTTTGGTATTAGGTTTTAAAAAAAATTGCTAAGAAAATTATTTGCCCAATATTAGTTTTTTGTGTGTAAAAAATACTGTTGAATAAAACTACCTACAATGTGGTATTTGTTGATAGCTGGAGAAATCCAAAAAGGGTTGTTGTGGAAATCCAAGCAAGAAGACCAAAATGACCCTGATGTTGGGGGAAATTATTCAGCAAATTAAAACCATATTTTTCCATTTTATTTTATTCAAGGGTGGTTGTGGTAATTTAATCATATTTTACTTTCAACCAAACATAGACTTAACAAACTACAACCAATTTTCGAGTTAATATTTTGACTTACCAAATAACTTTTTTTAAACTTTCTTACCAAACTCACTTTCCCATCATATTCCTAGTAATTATATTTTCCTAATAAATAAGCGCCTCCTAAAGATAAGATATGTTAATGTCAAGTCTGGTTTGCATTGTACCCCGTCACTTATCATCTCTGATTTCTTTAAAATAAATATCCAGCTTATGTGTTATAATAATGAGAAAAATATTTATCCTTTTAAATGACATAACTTGTGTCATTTCACTCTTACAAAGAGGTGGGACCCACACTTTTTTTTTGTCCACTCTCTCTCCATGATCTATCTCTATACAACTTTACATCTTTTAAACGACACACGCTTTTCCCTATAATAATTGCAGCACTAGTTTTTTTTTAAGAGTTTTGGATTTATTTGAATGCTTTTGATATTTGCTAAAATAAGGAAGCAGACAAAGGAATCGTAATAAAAATCAAGACGTGGGCTTCATTTTTTTTTTTAACTGACATGATGTTTGATTGAATATGTTATAATAATATTTATGTAAGCCCCTTGTGATTCTCGCGGGGGAGGAATATGATACAACACATAACACCATCAGAAAACTTCTAAATTCATATTCCCTCGCATCTTGTTTCTCAAACTCCCTTTTGTGTGATTGAATTACGTTAAAGTCCTTTAATTTTTCCATCTGTAACTTTGTCTTTGTCCGTGGCAACATGCATTCAGGTTTTCATCAGAAGATCACGAGAATGTAGAACAGAACAAATCACTTGTAGGCCCACCTCTCATTGCTAAGATACTAAAAGAGGAACATGAAAACAAAGAGCTATTCTGTTACTTCAAAGATTTATAGGCCTTAGCTTCTTCAAACACACCCATCGTTCGTTTGATTCATCATCATAATTCATATCCTTCTTAATTAGGAGCCATGTCTAGCAAAGCTGGTCAGGTCATCAAGTGCAAAGGTTAGGTAGCCATGCATGCATCCATGTCTGCTCATTAATCTCATGGTTTTGATAATTCCTTTACTCACATTTGTTCTACATTCTTTCTTACTAGATATACTTTCTGTGATATAATATATGATTACCCTTTTTTTACTTTTTGAGTACACACACACACATATATAGCTGATGCTCATGAAATATATATAGCTGCGGTGGCGTGGGAAGCATGCAAGCCACTAGTGATTGAAGAAATAGAGGTAGCTCCACCACGGGCTGGTGAAGTTCGTTTGAAGATCCTCTACACCTCTCTTTGTCGTTCTGATATTAACTACTGGGACTGCGAGGTCATTTACTTCATATTCATCAGTTAGTAGTGTTGTGTAAATTGTTGGTTAACAACAATATGTATCAAGCTATTTTTTATTTTTTTTGAAGAAAATATAATTTTTGAGAATCAAAGGTTTAAAAATTTCGAATGGCTACTTATTAAAAGAAGTTGATTTTGAAGCATGAAGAATTTATTTTTATTTCTTGAGAATTCATGTCACTTGGTATTATTTTGCCTTATCAGTACTCTGCATCCAACCTGAGATTATTTTCTTCCCGTTTCAGGGCCATACTTCGTTTTTTCCCCGTATACTTGGTCACGAAGCTGCAGGGTATGTTTCTGTTGTGAAGATTTTCCTTAAAAGTCATTAAAATTTCTCTGTCTTATGTTTCTTTTCTTGTTGGCTTGAGTACTCATCTGGTTTCCTGTGTTCAAATATTTTATTTTTCTAACATCCTTTTCTTTTTTTGACTTGGTTAAATTCTATTTTTTTATAGCATCAATGTGTTTGTTATTCAATGACTTGTTCAATGTAGCAAGAACATTTCATTAATAAGCATCTCTCATTAGATTTTTGTGACGTTATTTGATTAGGATTGTGGAGAGCATAGGGGAGGGTGTGACTCATCTCAAACCAGGAGATCATGCACTCCCTGTATTCACTGGAGAGTGTGGGGAATGCCGACATTGTAAGTCTGGAGAGAGCAACATGTGTGAACTGCTAAGGGTCGACATTGATAGGGGTGTTATGCTCAATGATGGTAAGCTATGAAGCACCGATACTGATACGGCATTTTCGATACGTTCTCGATACGTGTGTCCGATACGTTACTTCAAAAATACTAATATTTCGATACGTTCCGATACGTCTTAGTATTAAATAATATTTTTAATATAGTGTACTTCACATTAACAAAATATAATAAAATCATAGGCACAAATAGTAAAAGAACGACGATGGATATTAATTAATATATATAAAAAATAAACCAATTATTATATCCTCGTCAGGCAATATAATAATTGTTTGCCTGAAATTTACATAATAAAAAATAAAAAATAAATATACAATACAAATAAAAGAACGACGATGGATATCAAACAGCTTTCACCGACAAAAAAACAGCTATCCTTCATTCACTTACCTTCCGTGCGTGAGAGGATCCTTTTTTGAGCAGAGACGATGGAGGAAGAACGACGATGGATGGAGGTCTCACAACGAACAGCTACCACCCACCGACAGCCAAGGAGGAAGAAAGATCGAGGAGAAACAGCTACCAACGAAACCGTGGAGGAGCCGAGCAGAAACAGCGACGGCCGATGGCGGAGGAGGAACGGCGACGACAAACCAACGATGGAGGAGGAAGAATGACGCTGTGGCGTCTGGCGTGTAGGTCAGGACGTGTTGATTTGGATTCTGAGATTTAACACGATTTGGGTTCTTTTTGTCCAAAACAAAACACCGTTTTATTTTTTAAAACAATTACTGAAATGCCATTCATCCATTAGATACGTAAAGATAGAGTATCGTAACGTATCCGTATCGGACGTGTGTCCGATACGTAGAAATTTTTCAAAAATGCGTATCCGTGCTTCATAGATGGTAAGACAAGATTCTCCAAAAATGGACAGCCCATATACCACTTTGGGGGAACCTCTACATTTAGTGAATACACAGTTGTCCATGCTAAATGTGTTGCAAAGATCAACCCTGCTGCCCCACTTGACAAAGTTTGTATTCTCAGTTGCGGATTCTGCACAGGTTTGGAAGATCCCTATCTTCAAGTTAACTATAGTTGTTTGAAATATTTAATATAAAAATTGTTTTAACATAACAACTTAAACTTTTGGGAGAGTTGGTTCATGACATGATATTAGAATCTCTATAATTAAGTGGTTTAGAGTTCATTCCTTACCTTGTGGTCTTCACTTTTGTAACAAATATTGTGTAATGTTTTAGCACAAAATAAGTGGGTTTGTATGTTGTCCAATCTTCAAGTCCAAATGACAACTAGCTAGCTAGATGATTCTCATTTAACCTTTTGGGAGAGTTTTTTCATGACAACTAGCTAGGTGATTCTCTTTTTATGTATAAATCAATTTTGTTCATGCTTGTAGGATTTGGTGCTACTGTAAACGTGGCAAAACCGAAGCCTGGTTCTTCTGTAGCTATATTTGGATTGGGAGCTGTTGGCCTTGCCGTATGCTGTCTATTCTGCTTTATTGTGGTTTTCAAATACTTGGCCAATTGCTACAAACAAAAGAAATAGTAACTCTAGTTTTTCTTTGTAATCTGCATATTTAGGCTGCTGAAGGGGCAAGGCTTTCTGGTGCTTCGAGAATCATTGGGGTTGATGTAATTTCCAGCCGATTTGAACAAGGTAGATGATTTCATTTTTTGGTCAGAATTTCAAACATTCAACAGATGCAGCTGACTATAGTGCTCTTCACTTGCTAATGATAGTTTCTGCTTTTAATTTATTGGCAGCCAAAAACTTTGGAGTCACTGACTTTGTGAACCCAAAAGATCATGACA